ATGAGGGCCAAATGATTTCTGAGGACCCTGCAGCTTGGATACCTGAGGTCATTTTTTCCATTATGTTTTTTTATTAGTCCCTCTTGCCCTCCCGGTCCCAGACCTCCCGTGAAGAGACAGGACACAGGGCTCTCCCCTAATCTGTCCTTTTCCTGGAGTTCAGTCTCTGACCAGGAAGTGGGAAAGCAGGATTTCCTCTGAGGATGTTCTCTGTGACCCAGACAGTTCCGGTTTGAGAAGCACAGAGAAGATAAGGAACGTTGCCCTGGCTTCCAAACCCTAAAGCCCCTTTCCGTGGGTTTGATGTTTTCTTCCACACTGGACTTTGAACTCCTTAAAAACAGGGAAAGTGTAATTCAGAGCTGGAAGAAGACATGTTGGCATCCCTTTGAACAGCTTTATTAACATTTCAGTGCGGGAAACTGAATTCTCTTTTTCTTTAAGCATTATAAAAAGTAGGAAGATCTCCTTTTCCTCATCTAGACCTGTGGAAATCCTTCAAGGCCCAACTCCAGTCATCTTTTACAGAAGCCTTTCCCTATGCTGGAATCGTAAACCACTCCTCACACCCCATTTCTGAAACATTGTTTGCACAATTACAGTATGTCAGAGATACATGGCTAACCTCTTCCCCTCCAAAACTGGAACACTAGCCCTGACTGGTGTGGCTCAGTGGGTGGGGCACTGTCCCACAAACCAAAAGGTCACCAGTTCGATTCCCGGTCAGGGCACATGCCTGGGTTGTGGGCCAAGTCCCTGGTTGGGGAGATACAAGAGACAACCGATCGATGTTTCCTCTTGTATATTAATGTTTCTTTCCCCTCCTTTCCCCCTCCCTTCCCTTCACTCTAAAAATAAATAAAATCTTTAAAAAAAAACTGGAGGGAAACTAAAGCCTAGTGATATGAGGTGACTTGCCCCATGTCACAGAATTTGGGGCAGAGTGACAAGAGGAATCTGATTATTGCTGACTTCTAATTCACTGTTCTTTCTGCTTGTGTATTTTACCCCTTTACCTATTTTTGCTTTCCTATCCCCAACTTCCTCCTCCAATGCTGTACCTATTCATAAATCCACACTTTCCGACAAGCTGTTCCCTCTATCAGAACTACCATCTCTTCCCCTTCTCTTCCCTATTGCTCCTGCATGATTCTGGACAAATCTAGAATGTTGTCAGAATAGCCCTCCACAAAGCTTCTCGATTTATTTTCCCATGGTATGTAGTTTTATTTTAAGCACTGACCTTTCTGCATTGCTAGTGCTTGCATGTCTGTCTCCCATTAGAGAGAGTTCCTACAGGGTAAAAATGTTCACCATCTTATGCTCAGCACCTAGCTCGGTGCCCAGCAGAACCAACATTAGATACCTGTTGAATGATTAGGAGTAAATAAGGTGCTGGTGCGGATCAGAATCATGGAAGGAGTGGCTGCTGCTGGGCTAGATGCTACGGAGGGACATGAGATTGTTTACTGCCAAAGTGTGACCTTGACCCAGTTGTATCTTATTTGTGTTTATCTCATCACCTGAAAAATAGGGTTAATGATACTGCCACATATATTTCAGTTGGGTTTTGTTAAGTATTAATATGAGGATGTATGTGGGAAAGCACACTTTGAAAACCGTGAAGCAGTCTACCAACCTAAGACATTATCATTACATTTATTTTGCAGGCATAAAGGCCTCTCTCATCTAGATGGCTAGCAAAGGCTCTGCCCTTGTAAGTGATGTCTAGAAAACAAGGGCACAGAAAAATCTTTTGTTCCTCTAACTTCCCGGAGTCATTACGGTACTCAGTAGGAGGTTACCACAGTGACAATCATTGAAACGAACCCTTTCACATTAACACAGGCAGTTGTCATTGTCTACTTCAGAACTCTTCAGTTAAAAAAGTCATTTCTGGTCTTGGCTAAAGAGCAAGGGGGACTCCTTGGGGGAAAAAATACAGCAGGGCAGCGTATATTTGAAAACAACATGGACTCTAGTATTCAAAATCATTTAGCTCAAGATGCAGGAACCTCTTCCTGAATTCCGCAGGCCTCAGAGAAGTTGTTTTCCCAGTGGCTTATAAGAGCTTCAGTCTTTGGTAGCAACGTGTTTGTGTAAATTCCCTAAGGCTGTTTCTCTTCTCTGAGGAGGACAATCACCAAGTTGGCATCAGCCAGGAGGCCTAAATGAACTGGCCATGTGAGCACACGGTGAGGCCTAAAAAGATGGAAGCTATCATGATTACACTGCCCTGGCTCCTTCAAGTCTGAATCACTAGTTTTGGCTTTTTATCATATACTTTTTGTGTGGCTGTTTCCAGGGTGAATCTAACATCCACTTCTGCAGGGCTCTAATACAGGCAGGGCAAAGCAGAGGACAAGTGTATATGGAGTAATTAGCCAGCAAGGGGCTCAGAGGTTGAATGTGGGGACATTTGGTGGGTGGGTGTGGGGGCTGCTCCAATTGACCAGGACCCAGATTAAGGGGTATGTTTCTAGACAGCAGAAGTCCCATTGTTCCCTTATTCCACTGGAAGTAACACACCCATAATGTATAAACAGTATCCTGGGGACTGGATGAAAAATGTCAGAGAAGCGTCACCTGAGAGGCAATCTTCTCTAAGTCTTTTAATCCAATTTTCCCAGCACTAATGCTTTTTCCAAAGACATTTAAACACTATTGTAGCAATTAGCTTGCTAAATAACTTTCCATAGTAAAACACTCTTCTTAGAGAACTTTCTAGAGTAGGCTTCAGTGACGGTCCCTCTTCTCTGGACATGTATTTATTAGAGAGAGAGAGACATGTTTTGTTGAGTTAATCTGCAGTCCATATTCATTCTCCAAAACTGCTTAAGTGTTATATCAGAAGTATTAAATTAGATGTTTTAAGAGAAGTGACAGAATTAAATTTTGCCTAAAAGGCCTCGGGTTCAGTTTTTACTCTTCAGGTAGTTTCTTATTTGGTGTGGGTTCCCAGCGAAAACAGTATACAGGTAATGAAGCTGTTGGTTAATTCAATAACATTCCCTATTTTTTTCATTAATGTGCAATATAAATTCTACCTACACTCTTGGGTGATAGATACACTGAGGGCTCAAGTTAAACAGAGTATACAGTACTCTCTTAAACAGTGGCATTGACACTGTTAAAGAATTTACTCCAATGAAATCCCTAAGTTGACTTTTATGCTACTTATTAAAATAACCAAAGCCTCAAACAATGCCTATGAAAACAAAGGGAGACACATCACTGCCATTTACTCCTCTTAATTTTAACCTGCAAGAGAAATGCTAAGGAAAAGATGCACACATGGGTCCCTGGCTCCAATGGGGAACAGCAGAGATCCACCATGTGGTTGTACCTTGACTTGCTAACTATAAATTGATTTACCAGATTATAACTCAATAAAGACCCAGCTGGGTTAGAGACCCAAAGTCTCTTTCCAGTTTATATACGAGCTTTGATATAAGGCAATGGCCTCGTAATATAACTTGAGCAGAAGAGCCTTCTCTCGAATGAGGGTTTTCTTCATTTATATTCAGAAACAATTTAAAACAACATTTAAGAAGGTGGGGGGAAAAGGGAAGCAACTATTTTTTTTTTTAAAGATTTTCTTTATTTTTAGAGAGAGGAGAAGGGAGAGAAATGTCACTGTGGGGTTGCCTCTCATAAACCTCCTACTGGAAACCTGGCCTGCAACTCAGGCACGTGCACTGACTGGGAATCGATCCAGCGACTCTTTGGTTCGCAGGCCAGCACTCAATCCCCGGAGCCACACCAGCCAGGGCAAGAGCAACTATAGATACATTCAACAACTTGGGCAGCTCTCAAGGGCATTATGCTGAGTAAAAACCACTTTCAAAAAGTTACATACTATGATTCCATTTATATTAACATTCTCAAAATGACCAACTTTCACTGATGGAGAACAGACCATTGGTTGTTAGGAGTTCAGGTAGAAGGAAGGTAGAACTAGAATTTCTTTGGGGTAATGGAACAGTTCTTTTTGTACGCTGATCGTGGTGCCGATTATGCAAACCTATGACAGTGATATAATTTCATAGAGCTATACACACACCAGAAGGTATATCAATGAGTGCATGCAGAAACTTGTGAAACTTGAAAGGTTTGTAGTTACTGATATTATATCCAATGTCAATTTCTTTATTTGATCATTTCTCATGGTTATGTAAGATACTAATTATCATTGGGGGTCACTGGGTAAAGAGTACCCCTGAACTCTATTATTTTTGTGGCTTTCTGGTATCTAAAGTTTCTTTTGTTTTTTAAGTGGAGAAGGATATGCTATAGCAGAGGATAAAGGAAAACAGTCAATCTAGACATTTTAATTAAATTTAATACATATTTTAGTTCTATTAAAAAATTAAAACATTTGAAGAACTCAGAAAGTTTATAAAACACACTCATACCCAGTAATTTTCTTATTCTGTGATAGTTACTGCTATATGTTGAACATGTTACATTACCTCAACCCACTATATTGCAAAAGTTTTACTTCCACAGAATTTAACAAATATGCATCTTAATTTAAGAGGACATATATAATCCTTGTACGGAAAGATCTTAAATTATTTTTTAAAAACAAAACTTTCCTCTTAAATTCAGTAAGGGTTGATTTAGCTAATTTAGTCAAGCTCATGATAACTTTGTTCTTTTAGGCAATACTGAGTAGATGCAGAGATGCAACATGCTAGGAAAACAGACTGACTTTTCAAAATGTACAGTATAAAAGAACAGTTCAGATTCAGAGTTGGATAGTGTCTGTTTACCTAAATTTGTTGAAATAACTGATCTCAGGGCTTGTTTATTTAAAAAAGGTTTCAGAGACACTGAAAAGCTCTCTAACAAAGAGAACTCAGCCCTCCTACTAGCCAGCCATCTTACAGTCAGGCCCCTCATTCAATTCTTTGCAATCGGCGTTAACAAAAACAGGGTGACCCCTAGAGTGATCAGGAATCCCCAGGCCACCGAAAGGTTCTGGCTTCTCTGAGTATCTTCAGAAGACACCCTCACCTCATATCAGGAGGGAAGGGAGTTAAAGGTTTAAAACAATTTTGGCAACTGTCTGAGACGCTTTACATCTAAGAAGGTGCCTACGGAATTCATACTATTCATTTGCTTGAAAGTTTCAGAAAGTTTCAAACTTTCAGGAAAAATTGGAGTGTTCCTTTCATTTTCTTTTTCAGGATGTTGTGTAAACTCTGCTTTTCCAGTTCGGAGGTTGACTGCAGGACTTGATTTAAGGTTCTTTAATACGAAAGCTGGGTTTTCATTCAAGCGCTGTGCTGCTTTTGGCTGAACAACTTCATTTGTAATGTTTCTCAATACTGGCATATCTGTGTGGGTGCCCAAGGATTCACAGTTATTATAACTAATTATTTCACAGGCATTCCTAGAAGGCTCCTTCTGACAATCAAGTTGTTCAGGTATGGATGTAAGGTTTTGATTCAGTAAATGTTCACTCCTGCTATCTGTGTTCTTCAGAGGCTCCTCTTCATCTTCACTATTGTCACTGCTTTGTATGAGTCCATATCTCTTCATATATTTTTTGGTTGCAAGAGACATGTTGTTTGGTGAAATTAAACTAAGTCCCACTGTGCTCCTGTCTGTATTAATATGTAGAAGGCTAAAAGATGAGTCACAGTTATTTTGGTTTGATCGAGTGAGAGAGAGTTGTGACAGCTGATTTTCATTTAAATATTTCAGAGCTATAGCATTTGCCTCCATGCTCAAATCCACACAGTTAGGGCTTAAACCGCTCATGCCAACATTAGCAAACGACATGTAGTTTAATCCAGAGATCACTGCTTCAGGGCTGATGCATGCCAACACACTGAAAGACACAAGAGAGTAGGCTATCATGCATCTTATTTTGAGTACCAAAAAGCATTATTCTAAATGTGTTCCATTCTATGAAAGTAAACTAAAGGTCTCCAGCTTTAAGCCTCACAGTGCTTTTTATCTGAGTGCTCAGACATTAAAGTCTTGATGATCCAGATACATTCAAGGGATAAAAATGATAACCTGAAAAGTAATCCGTGATTCACAGACTGAAAGTGGAACAAAAATGAATTTTCCTAAATTTAAACCTCAGTCATGGTTTTAAGACAAAATACAGGCCCCTAATGGAAAAGTTATTGATAAGGTAAATATTAGTAAAGTAAAACAAAAATTAAAAAAATAGATAAAAATAGAAAACACATTTGATAATATAACATTACAAGCTCTGGTGAGTAGCTCAGAATATTACATTGTTCATAGTTGAAGAGATTCTATTTGTAGTGAATAAAAAACATCGACCGGTCTCTGGATATAGACTACTGCGTCTGTGTATACACTGATTTTCTTTTATTAGATATAACCTTCAACTCACTTTGGCTGCTGTTATCTCATTAATGTTAACCAATTGCCTTGCCTGTCCCTTTATATCATATATACAATAACAGATGCTAATTTTTATGGATGTCATATTATATGTCAGGCACTCTGCTAAACATTCATTATCTTATTTAATCCTCATAGAAACCTTCCTCAGAGAGGTCATCATGTCAAATATCTCAACTTCATTGTCCACTCCAATACCTCACATTTCTCTTCCCCTACTTTTCGGTTTTCTCCTTGGCACTTATGGCTATCTATAGATACTTAACTCATACTTCTTGTTTATTGTCTAGCTCCCTCATGAAAGCCTACTTCTGTCCCCCACTGCAGTATCCTTGGTGCCTGGCAGCAGGCACTCAATTAACATTTACCAAATGAATACAAGAATTAGGTAGTATTATTATCACCTATATTTTACAGTTGCGAGAACTGAGGAATAGAGATTTTTAATTAATTTCCTTACGTTGAACAGGTAGTAATTGGCAAACTGAGGTCAGGTCTGCCTTACTCTCTGGGACTCTATATCAGTTTTCATTGTACTGTATTCAGTGACTTGGATTTTGCTATCAGTTTTTCTGTTCCCTAAAAATTAGAGTCATTTGTGTACTATTTGTTATGGTAAACAGTATATTCTAGTCAAAAAATAAGCTATGACTTTCCGTACCATTCAATGAAGAAATTCAGCCATTTTATATGTGCCAGCTGCTGCATCTTTATCCCTACGAAGCCCAAATAGCTATCAGGTATTTTCATTCTTATCATCAATATTCCCTGAAACCAGTGATGCCATCACCAAGCAATGGGACAGCATGTTCAATAATGCTAGTCTTTACAAGGAATTCTTCCTTAACCTTCTTGGCACTTAATGCTTTGGAGACTGTCGGAATAAGATGAAAGAGATACTAACAATTTATCCAGACATTATTCTTATATGATATATTATAGCGATAACATATTCTGAATATACAGTCCTTTTCTACTTTATTTCCTAAAATTATAAGCACTTTGCATATTAAATCAGAAAATGTGTGCACACTAAAAATATATCTATAGGTAATATTAATGTAAATAATTTGAAAAAGCAAATAAAAACTTCTAATTCAAGAAGTTCATTACATACTGTGTTAATTTCAATGTTTCACAATAGAGACATTAAAATAGGGTGGCCACTGTGAAGAAATATATTACTCCTCAAAGGCAGCCACACCAAAATGTAAGGGTTCCACATAGGTAGCAGGGTGATCCATGCATTCCAACAAATGTTATACAGCCTCTATCTCACAAATGGTAACTAGCCTCACTCTCCTACCTTGTTGGGAGGAATATAAAGTGGTCCAACTATTTTGGTGACAACATCTGCCAAAACCTCACATGCACATATCCTTTGAGCCTGCCTATCTGCAGGAATTTATCCTTCCAAGATACTTGTACAAGTACCTGTAGAATGATGTTCACTTAGCATTGAGATAAGAAATAAGAGATTCAGACTAAAGGGCCATTAACAGAGGGCTAGGGTTCACTATATTATTGCACATGGGTTCCACAGAATATTATGCAGCTGTTTAAATGCATGAGAAAGAATTACATATGCCTATAAATAAAAGTAAGCTATAAATGTTAAAAAAAAAAACAACCAAATCACAATACTCATCACACATGTATATACTTGAACATTTCTAGGAAAATATAAAACAAGAGAAGTAATCTTGGAGGAGTCAGACTGAAAAGTCTAAGGAGTGGGGGTTTCTGTATTTTATCTGATATTTGTGTATTATTTGATACATTTTTTAAGTCATGAAACTACTACTTTTGTAACTAGAATATAGCAACAAAAATAATTAACAGAAAACATCCTTAGTATAATTTCCAGATTCTACCCTCTTTAAAACAAGTAGGTGCTAAGGTCATCTTTGATGAAGAGGAATCTGAATAGAAGAACATGGCCAGTTGGTGCCGGTGAGCAGGAGGTAGCGTTCACGTAACTATGCTCTTGCCTTTTTGGTGGCACAACTTCATAATTTCCAGAAGCTGGCACAGACACTATCACCTCCAGCAAGACTTTCCAGACACCAGAAATGAATAAAAGCTCATTTCTCTTTCCCCAAGACTCCCAGAGCATTTCACTGGCATCTTTACCCAGGAGACATCCACAATATCTCTGTAATTACTTATATAACCCTCTCTCCTACAAAAATGGAGAATCCAAAGGGTAGAGATGATTTCTTATTCATCACACATATAGCAGGCCCTGAATAAATGATAAATCAATTGAACTGAGTGGCAAGCATATGCCCTTTCTCACAAGACTGCTGCATATATCTAAAATTTATTCATCTTTTTAAAATATTTTAAAATTACCTGGCATGATCCACTTTGTGTGCATTTTTCTTCACTTTAGTGGGAGAATCAATTTTTACTCCAAGGCTTCTTAGTTGCTTAAGGGTTGCATTAAGAACACAATCTTTGTCCACGAGTCCTGAATCATGTTTTTTTTTCTTTGCATGGTAAACATTTTGGGTTCTGGTGCACTCATGGCTAATAATTACTGCATTGGTAGACGGCTGCTCAGTCTCTTTGGAGGAGTTATTTAATAGGTGGTTCACTTGACCCTGATAAAAAGAAAAAGGACATATTTAACAAATCACTATTAACACTCTTAGGAAACAAAAATGTACATAATAGCCTAAGTAGGGCTAGCGAAAAGCAAAGCAGTATCTTCCCAAATTTTACAAAGTACCAAGTGCATTTGTAATTACAATCATACCTTGGTACTCATCAGCTTCAGAACTCGTCAAACCCTGTAAGAGATGCATTTGGACAAGAAAAAAATGTTTCAGCACTCAGCACTTGCTCGGGACTCATTGCACTTGCTAGAATTTGTATGAGATCTGACGCTACCCCGCAAGAGAAAATGCTTCGTCACTCATCGCTTGAAAAATTCATTAGGTACTGGTCGGTTTCAGCACTTGTCATGAGTTCCAGAGTGAATTCACGATGAGTACTGAGGTACCACTGTATTATGGGTTCTTTATAAAAGCAGTCCATTCTAATAAATGCTTTCATGAGATCCTAGAGGAAACCTGGAATGTCTGTACATGGGTGGTAGACACACAATGTGATATGCAGATCATGTATCATAGAAATAGAAATGCACACTGCAACCTATATAATCTTATTAACCAATGTCACCCCAATAAATTTAATTAAAAAATAAAAATGATGCAAAGGGAGGGAAATAATAATAAACTTCCAATTTGCCTTTCACCACCATATGTCAAAACTACATTCTCAAGATTTCTGAATAGTTTCTGTCCTGATTTAAAAAAAAAAAAGTATGTCTGTTCAGAATTTGTTCCTTTTAAAACCAAGAGATTTCAGAAGTATTTCAAGTGTTTTTGGAATTTGTAGAAAATTCTTTATAAGTTTTAAACCATCCTTACATCTGAAAAACAGTAATGTTTCAGTTATACATTTCGTAAATCTTTGTTACTTTCAGAATTAGACTCTTTTCTTTTCTCATTTTGAGTGAGAATGAATACTACTTCTGGCCTTCTGGCATTAAAGCGCATTTCATTCCCTGAGCACACAGTTGCTTGCACCAGGCTGGGACCTAGCAGGCAAATAAATGTATGTTCACTGAGGAATACTAAGGGCCTCGTGAAGTGAGCTTACTTAGTCCTCAATTTTAAATGAAGAAATCAAATGTTCCAAAGTCCACAATTTGTACGGAAGTGACAGCCAGGGTTATGGGACCTTTATGTCCCAGTTTACATTCTAACTTTTCCAAGACAACTATTCCTCCAACCAGAATTATCTCTTTTTAGTCTGTGCTGTCTTTGCTTACAGCACTTCTCCGCCTGCCCTAATTGTTTGTTACTGGTACCCATGTGCTATTCCCCCTAGGTTCTCAAGAGCAAAGACTGTCACATTCACATTTTACATTACCTACTTTACTTAGCTCACTTTCTTAAACTAGGTTAAGTATTTAATAAAAATAAAAATGCTGCTTACCTAAACTGAAATCAGTAAATATTATCATAAATATTCTACTTCTTTCCAATGTTCAAACTCCCTGCAAAATCTTGCTTCTTTATGGTACTAACTTCAGTTTGAATTTGGCCTAATATCAACATTTATATTTTTAAAATAAAGCTTCTCCCCCTTCCCTGGCTATCTAAGTACCTGATGATTTGCATGCTTACAGTAAATTACAGAATTTAGGTTATCACAATTTATGAAAAGCTAAAAGAAGTAAACGATACATCACTAATTTGCAGAAAATCTTATATCAAGGCCCCAATCAATTTAAAGATAGAAGAAGCTTGGCTAGTATACCCTAAGCTATATCACCATCTCACACAAGAGGAAATGCTTTACATTTTCTTACCAATAAATCCTGATATATTTTCTGGTTATCTGATGTCTGATGAGGCAAAGGTTGCATTACTTGCTCAATTTTTGGTTCCCCAGAAGGTACAGAGTTGTTAGTAGCACCCTCTGTTGGTCTACTCTGTAAGCACATGTTTACGCTTTCAGCCAGCAGAGAATTCGGAAAGAACACGGGCACATCTGGTTCTTTTTTCACAACTGGAGAAGAGCTGCTTGAAAGGATATATATAACGTAAGTGTTAGTTATCAAGGTATCCTTAACATATATTTGAAGTGCAATAACTCTGGAAGAAAGAGGTAAGAATCAAGCAGCGTGCTGGTGAGTATTTTTAGCTCTTAGTGATGAGCATCTCATCTTCATAGGCTGCATCTAAGCTGGATCATAACACCTTTTTGAGTTATGTTATTTATAATATATTTAGACAACTTGCTTGGAAAGCTGAAAAACAACCTGTTGATTTCTCCTTACCTTGATGCAATAAGATTTTTTAGAGTTTAAAGAGAGGAAAGACTTTAGTATTTTTTAGATACTCTAAAATTTTAAAGTATATTATTTGTTCACTTGAAGTTTTTTTAAAAAAGATTTTATTTATTTTTAGAAAGAGAGGAAAAGAGAGAGAGAGAGAGAGAGAGAGAGAGAGAGAGAAACATCAATCATGTGCCCTGACTGAGAATCGAACCTGCAAACTTTCAGTCTGCAGGCTGGCACTCATACCACTGAGCCACACCAGCCAGTGCTCACTTCAAGTTTTAAGACTTGTCAAATGAAAGTTCCTAAATTGTCATTTATAATCACATTATATGCTTGGTGGTATTTTTCTTCTTTATGCTTTTATGTATTTCTCAAATTTCATACAATGAGTATTTATTATCTCCAAATTTAGGATATAAATACATATTTTAAAAGTAAACTTGAAAAACAATATTTAAAAATGTTTCTTGTAAGAACAGTAATCTGTGGCTATTGTAGAAGACAGAGAAAAGTAACAATAAATATTAGCTTGCAGAAAGGGTCAGGCACGGTTTTGAGTGCATCAATTATATAATCCTTCCCCAAAAGACCTATGAGATAAATACTACTACATTTTATCCCTATTTAACAGATGAGGAAATTGAGGCACAGAGGTTAGTTAGGTAACTACTCAAAGTTATACCAAGTGTAAAGAAAATAAAAGTCACATGTAATTGAATGCCCAGAGATAATCGCTGTTAACATTTCAGAGTATTTCCACCTATGCTTTTTTTCCTATTGATAATATATTTCCTCTGAGGAACTATACCATATTATAGCTTTAGAAGCTGCTTTTTGAAACCTAATATCATGTCATGAGCATTTTCCCATTTCGTTAAATATTCTTAAAACCCAAGTTTTAATCTTTACATCATATTTCATTTTATAGATATGGTATGATTTTTCTAACCATACTTCTTTAAAACTCAGCTAATTTTCAATTTTTTCCATATTCTTTAATTTTAACTTGATATGAAGTGAGAAGCACACATTTGGTACATGAAAATCTCAATAATTAGCTAAAATGAATCTTTGTAAAATGCCAGTCAAGATATAATTCTAAGGAAAAAAAGTCAGTAAATTTGACAACTCAAAGTAAAAAAATCATTACATGGCAAAGAACATCAAACAAGGTCAAAAGACAACTGACAAGCTGGAAGAAAATATTCACAACATATACCACAATCATCGAACATCTCTGAAACGTAAACAACACTTAAAACTTGAGGGGTAAAGCACATAAAACTCTAATAGAAAAATGGTATAAGAAAGACAAGCACATAATTCACATATATATTAAATGATCCAGCTCACTTATAAGTTTAAAAATGAAAATTAAAACAATACCAAGCTATCAGTTATCACTTATGAGGCTGGTCAGCTCTGTTTTTGGCTTGGCTTTGGGGGAACAGATAATGTCATATATTACTGGTGGGAATGCAAACCAATATGACCCTCTGGTAGGGAAATTTGGCAATAATTAACAAAACTACATATGCAATTAACTTTGGATGCAGGAATTCCACTTCTAAAATAATTCAAAACTACACATTAATTCACTGTAGTCAGAAAGCATTGGAAGCAGTCTAAATTCTCATAAATAGGAGAGTGTTTTATTAAACTATGGCACAGCCACACAATGTAATATTATACAGCTATTAAAAATGAAGAGACTATCTAGGAACCAATTTGGAGTGATTTCCAAATGAAAGAGAAAAGTTTAGGATAGTACTTATGGCACGCTACTTTTCTACACTTTATATAAGAAAGAAGTAACATAAAATACATATATATCTGCTCTTTTGTACAAAAGAAATACAGGAAGAACAATACAGTAACTAAAGAGATTGGGTAGAAAAAGGGTTGGTAAAAGGAGAATTTGGGAACAAGGTAGCAGGGATGAGAAAGAAGTAATTCTTTGAGTGTGTATCTTTTTATATAGTTTGGTCTGATAGAATCATAGTGATGTTTCACACACCAAAAAACAAACATAATCAACTAGAATATGGAGAGACCCCAAAATGCAATACAAAGAGTAACACCTAATGGCATTGCAAACAAATAGCACAACCATTTAAGGGAATGGGGAAGAAAAAAACTAACCTGAATAACAATGAAAAAAGGTATTTTCATTGTATATTGTAAGGCTAAAGATAAAAATTATAAACAAATACATTCTAGTAAATTTTTTTTTACAAATTCTCAGTCATTCTGAAACCACTTCATGTACATACTGAAGTAGGACTGAACAACTAAATATCATACACACAACGAGAGCCAGATTTCTCAGTTAAAGAAAGAAGCTTTAAATAAAAAAAGGGGGTGTAGGAGTGGAATCAGAGGATTGGTGTGAAGTCATGGATTTTCAAATACAGACAGATATGGTGGGTTAGCATGCACATATAAGTTAGATCACCAAAAGAATTTTAGAATTTAAAAGAGAAAAAGAAGTAGGATGAATACTGAATCAAAGAGACCTTACTTGGACACAGAAAGTGGCTGATTAAGTTCTTCTTCCACAGCAATGTTGCTCTCTTCAAAACTGGGGATATCAACCACCTTTAATGAAGATGCACTACCTGGAGGACTTGTGACTTCATTATGAATATCAACAGAAAAATTCATGTCCTCACTGGAAATCTTGGTATCATCTTGCTTTAGCTGAGAGTCAGGCTCCTGATGATCACCTGCTGCATTCCAAAACAAGCTAGCACCTGGAGATTGAATGTTTTAACAGACACTGAAACAAATATTCCACTACAAAAATAATTCCCTGACAAACCATTGTTAAGTAAAAGTTGTTATATTATTTTAACACAGTTACTTACAACTCTTTTCAGATTATATTTCCTCAGAAATGTCACAAAGAGTTAAGTGGCAGGTGAAAAGATAAAAAACAGGTACAAAGGAAAAGGGGATATCCTGGGCCCTGATTCTTCAAGAGATGTGGCTCTCAAATGATATGTTCTATATATTAAAATTTTGAATACAATTTGGTGTGTGTGTGTTGAAAACTGATGTTCTGAAAAACAGGTGAAAATATATAAAATACAAATCCCTAGGTTCTCTGATTTTGATATTTAAATTCAACATTTATAAGGCCATATTAGGGATACATCAGACATATGCAGTATCAGACATGTATTTAAAAATCAAATGTTTCCCAAACTTTATGGATCAGTTGCACAATTATTTGCAGAACTATCTGCATGTATTATTACTTGCTTGCTATTTTTGTCAACTCACTTTATTTTTTACCTGTGTCATCATTCCCAAGAAGTCATATATTTGAAGTGTTATATTTTTCCAATACGCCTAGGAATAAATATAGCCACAAAGTATAAAATATTCTTCTGTATACTACTGCAAGTCATCTTTTGAACCTCAATGGTATGCATTCTACAATTTGGGAAATAACTGCTTTATAAAATAATTTACAGAATTAGTTAAAACCAAAAAGTAAATCCAAGTCAAAATGTATTCTACTTCGAGGGCCAACTTAGATGATTTTATGAAAATAAATTAATAAAAGCATGATTTGCTCTTGTATTAAACTAAACATTACAATCTTTTCTTTGTTTTTATTGTTGACACTGTTAGAGATGTCCCCATTTCCCCACACTTTGCCTGCTCCCACCCAGCCCCCACCCTTTCTTCCCTCTGGCCAATCACCACATTGTTGTCTGTGTCTATGGGTCATGTATCTGTGTTGTTTGGCTAATCCATTCACCTTCTTTCATCCAGGTCCCCTCTCCCCTATCCTCTGACAGCTGTCAGTTTGTTTCATGTATCCATGCCTCTGCTCCTATTTAGTCCATCAGTTTATTTTGTCCATTAGATTCCACATATAAGTGAGATCACATAGTATTTGTTTTTCTCTGACTGGCTTATTTTACTTAGCATAATAATCTCCAAGTGTTACTTTTCCTGAATATGTATCACTAAATATATACTTCTGGGAATTAAGTATTATTATAGAATAAATGTGCTTCTAAGAGCCATTTAATTCAAATGATTAATAATTCATTTTTCTGCATATAAGTAACAACTCTGAATGTGAATCCATGAAGTTTCAAAATATTTGAATTCCATATATCATACTTGAAAACTTATTTCAAATAATTTCAGATTATCAGTTCAAACATGTGAATAACTTCACTCAATTATCACTTATTCAGCACATACTGTTTTAGGCGTCATGTTAGGTAATGAAGATACAATAGAGAATAAGGCAGTGTTCCAGATCTCAAAAGCTTACAGTCTTGTGACATATACAGAGGATACGCAACTGTAATACACTTTATGTACAGCATTTTACAAGAGACCATAGGAGGAAACTGAACTTTTTGGTATGTTTATTTATCTCACAATACCCATAACTCCTTCCCCTCCATCCCTCTACAAAACACACACAGACATATTCCTTCCCTGGGAACTATCGCCCCTGCAATTAACAAAGATGGGACTCCAGAAGCTATGTCCTTATTATGTGAGTCTCAATCCCCTTATGATTGAACCAGGGTATAAAACCTAACCCAAATTTTGCCATTCAGGTTCTCTGCAATTTGACACTGGGACTGAAGGATAGTAACCTTGTTTGTGCATAAGGCTAGAACTGTGCAACACACAAACTTTGGAACTCTGGGTGAGCTATATTTTAAAATGTAAAGCAGTGAAGACTGCAGATGAGTAAAACAGCCATGTATCATAGCTAGATAGTCCTAATGGTATTCCAGTTTCTAGTTCTGTTTTTTTCCTGATGTCCAGCCCCATTCTTGGCCTTGGCTTTCATGAAACATCCCCATATTCTTCCAGTAAATTCCCCATCCTTGCTTAAATTAGTTCACTCCTTCCTTCCCTGTATATACATAGTTCAGAAAAAGAATATACACATTTTTTTCTTTATTACCCCTTCTAAAATTTACTCCCTAGGCTGAAATCTTCACCTGTTACTTTTGACAGTCTTATATCATTAACTCACCCCCACTCTTTTGAATTTGAGCATCACTATCTTCATTTTCAAAAGTAGCTTAATCTCAACAGATTAGACTATACTCATCCTCTCTCCCTGGCTTCTCTAACTTGCCTCTTTCTGTTCAATACTGCCATCATTCCCTCTATCATCCAGGCTTAAAACCCTGGAGTAACTTTTATCTTCATTTTGAAATAAATCTAGAGTTATAGAGAATACAGGGTTCCTGTATACTCCTCTTCCAGTTTCCCTCGATGTTAACATCTTACATTACCACGATACACTTTTCAAAATCAAGAAACCAACATTGTACATTACGATTAACTAAAACTGTAGACTTTATTTGGATTTCAGCAATTTTCCCACTGATGTTCTTTTTCTGTTCCAGGATGCAACTCAAGATATCACATTGCTTTTAGCTAGAGTAACTTCTGAATTCTCCTTCTTCCTCAACTGCTCCATCCAATTAGTTATCAAATCTTATCAGCACTTTATATGATTCTTCCTCTTCATCCTTATCTCTACTACCTTGTATAGTAGACATCTTGCTAGATCGAGTGGGACACAAAGTTGTTCTTGAGGATTTTATGGACTGGTGATGAGTAAACATGTAAATAAATGTCATTTATATTACTGATTTTTTTGAAGCCTTTAATGTTGCTTACCAAATAAAATATATACTCCTTTGTTAAAGATGTAAAAAAGGCTCTCCGTAACATTGTAATGTAGAGTACTGAACAACTCAGAGCCCTGTCTTCTCTCAGCCCATACTGTTTTCTCTACCCAGTCTTTCTGCCATCTCTGAATTCCACCTACTAAAATCCTACATACCCTTCAAGGCCCCGATTCAGTAACAGTGCATAGATGAAACCTCCCCAGCTCCCTCAAACCACAGATGATTTTTCTTATTAGAATTGGATCCAGCCTGGGAAAGTAGCAAAAACAATGTATTGTTATATAGTTTCATATCTGTTTTCAGGTACAGTTTTATTTCATAAAGAATAAAATTATACAAAGACTTTAAATAGTTATATTCTTATTACCTTGGTTTTGGTTCTGTTTGTGCCATGCACCAATTTCAATGTAAAAACATTTTAAGGTAGACACAAAATTCCTTACAAATTAAAAAAAAAAGAAATTACCTGTGCTTACGGCAATGCTTACACTTTTTCTCATGTGTAAACCAGGGGACAACTGAGCTTCCATGGAAACCACCTCCGTTTGTCTTGCAGCCTGCCCTGTGTCTTCAACAGTGGCTGTCTTAGGAGAACAGGGCTGAAGAGACTGTGCTTCCAATAAACGTTGAATCTGTATCAATTAAAAACGTACTTTAAACTGTCAGTGAATTAATCACAAAAATGGCAGCTGAGTTTAAATATGAATTATAGTCCCCCAGTTATAAATAACTAAACTTTATATTTTTCTCACATTTCAATTAGATATCATAAAACTTATTCAATGTAGAAAATCATTATCATTCATTATTACGAAACTGAGCTATGTATAAATTTAAAAGTGAAAACATACAAGTGTTTAGATTAGCATTCATAAATTGACACTCATATAAAGCCTGAATGTTAACAATTCAATCCTACATTTTATTCCTACTGCACTTAAAAAATCAAAAGTATGGTAGAAGATATATCCTGACTCCATGTACCAAATTCTTACTCAAGATTCTTCTTATAAAGGTTAATCACAATTGCCCACATTTGACCATGCAGAAACTGGTAATATTAACAATTGCTAACAGTTACTGAGTGCTTCCTGTTTATATGACACTATACTAAGAGCTTTTATGTATAATTTTACAACCTTGTGAAGAACATACTATATATATTAGATACATTTTACAAATAAGAAAACTTCAGGCATTAAAAGTTAAGTTACTTCCCCAGGTCACATAACTAACAAGTAGCAAAGCTGAGGCTCAAACACAAGAAATGTCCCCTCCCCCTTTTTAAATTGAGATACAATTCACATATCATAAAATTCCTCCTTTTACAGTAGACACTTCCGTAGCTTTTGGTATGTGTGCAAAGTTTGCATTCATCAATCCCCAAAAATCTCTGTACCCATTAGCAGTCACTCTCCACTGCCCCTCTTCCTAGCCCCTGGCAACCACTAATCTACTTTCTGTCTCTATAGATCTGTCTGTTCTGGATATTTTATATAAATGGAGCCATACAATAAATGACTTCATATGCTGCTTTTCTCACTTAGCATAATGTTTTCGAAGTTCCTCCATGGTGCAGCATCTATCAATACTTTATTCCTTTTAATGAATGAATAATATCCCAGTGTATGTATGTATCACATCATGTTTATCCATTCATCAGTTGATGGACATATGGAATGTTTTCACTTCGTGCTATTATAAACAATGTTGCTATGAACATTTGTATGCTCATTGAAATTTGAAATTTCAAATTTGACATTTTTGTGTGAACATTTATCTTGAATATATACTTAAGAGCTGAAAACTCTTTTTTAAACAATGTGATTTTATATTTCCCTATAAATCATACTATTGTGTTCATCTTATCTCATTAATTTTAGATTAACTTTATTAATATAGAAAAATAAGCATTATTAATAAATTGTTAAAATCAGTAGAAATTTAACCTGCATTAATAATACAAAATAGCATATGTACTGAGTGGTTTGGGGCATGGTATTTGTTATCATAAAGACATAGGTTTAAATCCTTCTCTGTTACCTTTTGGAAAAGCGATTTAACCACTATGAGCTTCCATACCACATAAAACTAAAGTAGCTGTAAGGATTAGGAGATAAATAAGATAGTTGCAATTTGCTGAGTACTTACTATAGCCAGGTACTACACTGAATACTTACATATGTATAATACACATGTCTATATACATATACGAATATATGTACAAAAATATCTAATTAAGGCCTGAATGATGAGGAGCCAGCCATTAGAAATAGAACAATGTTTCAGGCAAAGAGAAGCAAGCTTAAGAACTAACGTAGAAACACATTTATGTTTTTGAAGAACAAAAAGCACATTACTGCAGCTGAAGTGTAGTGAACATAAAAAACGTGGCAAGTGATGAGCTGGGGAAGGGAAGACAGGTGCCAAATCTAAAAGGCTCCGAGGGCTAAGGTAAGGAGTTTGCATCCTATTTCAATTGTAATGGTATACTACTGAGTTTTAAGCGAGAGCCCTATGATCTGACTTGAGCTTTAAAAAGATGGCTGTGGTGTTCCCAACTACAGGAAACACAAGGGGACAGAACTGGAAAGACCACGTACGGTAAGAGAAGACAATTTGAATTAGGGTGGCAGCGTAAAAGATGGTAAAGAGAAGTTAAGTTCAGGGAGTATCTAGAAAACAAAGCCTGGGTTGTTGACATCTGGGATTTTGGCCTGAGTGACAGGATGAGAAATGATGTCATTAACTGAGATAATGATAATGAAAAAATGGTAATAGCTAACACTTACTGAGCATTAACCATATGCCAGGCACTATTCTTAGCTCTTACCTAGTAACTAATTCAACCCTTAATAATGCATACACATATGTATATCCTCATTTTGTAAATGAGAAAACTGAATCCAAAGGTAAGATAACTGGCCCAAGATGGCATAATTTATGGGACCCAATAACTAGATTAGAACCTAAAGAGTCTGGTACCAGAGACCAGCCCTTTAACCACACATCAAAATAAGACTTGGAATATTAAGAGAGGAGCAAGTTTGGATATCTTTGAGTGTTTAAAGTGTGTGTTCTCTTTAATTTCACAATTTCACTTTTAGTAATGTGTACTACAGTGATACAAATACATATGCAGGAAGATGCAAGTATAAGGCAATAGCAAAAATTTCAAACTACTGAAATAATAGGGGGCCAATTAGAAAATTTGTTATGTATCATTACAACAGAATTCTATACAGAATAAGAGTTCTAGATATACTACATAGAAAATATGTTATGATACTTTTAATATAGTTTATATTGTCCAAGTATAATTATTCAGATAATCTAGATTGGAGCCAGTAGTTTATAATTTACATTTTAAGTATATAAATCCCAAATAACTGAGATTTTTTTGTCCTCCATAGTCTTAAAACAAACAAACAAACAAACAAACAAACAGCCCTGGCTGGTATGGGTCAGTGAATTGAATGCCAGCCTGTGAACCAAAGGTTGCCAGTCTGATTCCCAGTGTGGGTTGTGGATGTGGATTCCCATGTGTGGGTTGTGAGCTGAGCCCTCGATGGGGGTGTGTGAGAGGCAACCAATTGATGTACCCCACATTGATGCTTCTCTCCCTCTCTTTCACCCTCCCTTCCCCCTCTCTAAAAGTATATAAATAAAATCTTAAAAAAAAAAACAGGAAAAACTTGATTTCAATGTGAATATTTAGCAACATTAAAAGTTTTCCCAAATGTTTACAATTTGTTAAAATTCAATTTACATTTGATAATTTCAAAGAATTTGCCTAGTTGTAAGAAAAACAGCAAAGCTAAATTTTTCTCAGGTGCCATCTAAAGCATTTTAAGTGGAATTTTTAAAATGTCATATTTTTTTTCTGTTTTTGCAAAATGCAAACACTATGACTCCAATTTTATAAAACAAAGATTTTTTAAAAAATCAAATGTATATATGCCCATCATACATATTTGCAGTTATAGGATCATGGAAAAAATTATGAAGTATACTTTGGGTCATTTTCATTGGTTCTGGGGGAAAAAATGGGAGGATTTGGGATAGGGATGTGGAAGAAGGGTGCCAGTAAGGAAAGAAAAAAACAAACAAACAACATTTAAAGACTCAATAGTGCAAGAGGATCATTAAGACTAAGAACTTTGCCATAAAGACCAGAGGAAAGAAAACTCGAAATACTGAAGAGGTGCTAAAACTCTTTTCTAAGGATTAGTATATATACTATAAAATTCACAAACTAGAGCTGTATCAGAATCTACTGTGCAGCCCTTATAAAGCATGGGGCAAAAGTAGATGTGAGTACTTGAAACAGAGTTTATTCTTCTATTATTATTTATTATTGTATTTTTTTCCATACAAAAAAAAGGAAACCTACTTTTGCCCTACCCTGTATTTAGCTGTCTACAATGGTTTAGTAACTTACATACTTATTAGAGGCAAAAAAAAAAAAAAGAGAAAAATACAATTATGTTGTAAGTTAGGATATGCACAAAACAGAACAGAAAGTTTGTTTTCTAGTCCTGACTCTTCCAATTAGCAATGTGTCATTAGGTAAGTTATTTTTCACTCTATGGTCCTCATTTTACTTATCTGTAAAACAGGGACCAGAATTCAGTTTCCCAGGCTCCTCCTAGTTTTGACATTTCATAATTCTACTCCAAAAAATATAATTACTTAAGACTTATTTTTAAGAAACCATTTTAATACCAGGAATTAACAGAACTAAAAAAGCACCCAGCAAACCTGTGTTTGAAGTAGTCTCAGCTGTCTGTCTTGTTCTGTGAGGAATCTATATGCATCTGGGGACAGTCCCATCATTCCGTCATCTGACCCAGTGTTGGGTGTATGCACGCATACTGCACAAGGCTGCTGGTTACATGAGTCCACGTTGGAAGGTAGTCTTGCCATAGGAGACGGTTCTACACTGCCGCGGGAAGAACAACTGCCCATGCTTCCCTGAGGTCTCAAAGCTATAGGACTGCTTGAAGAATAGAATGCATTATGATACATAGCTGGACATCCACTTGGGTGAAATAAGGAATGTTTCTGAACAGCTTCAGACTGGAGGTCTTGAACGGATCCTACTGTATTCATTCCTTGCCAAGAATTTATTGGACTATATTGAATATGGCCATGATGCTGACAACAACTACAAACGTTTGTGGAATAGTAAGATGGTGGTGGGGGAGTAGGTACCTGAAATTCCATGGGTTTTCCTGAATTATGAGGTGAAAAAATAAAATTATGTGGGTGGGACTGTGGAACAAGAGAAGACTGCCTAGAATTAAATGTGGAAGATCTTATAGGATACTCTTCTTTGTGTACATTTCCAGAAAAAACTGTTTGAAGCTTTTCAGGTGCATCAGGAAATGGCCCATTAATAGAAGATGGTTTAACTCTATTCTTTATATGGAGGTTCTCTTTCTTACAGGTAGATGGCTGTCTTGCTCTGCAGTGTCTCAAAGGAGCAGTGCCCTGGTTTAAATGATTTGGTAGCCCTTTCAAGGAAGGCTCTCCAGCTTCAGATTCGGGGTTGTGTTTCTCATCATAAAGCTGGGGCTGCAGTGGCTCCAAGTGTTCAGAGTGGTTAATCAGGAAAGGGGGATTTTGATTATTGACCATTTCCAAAGCATTAGGCAGAGGGTTTGAGTCTATACAATTGCTATCCAACACAAGTGAAAGTTCTGGAACTGATGGTTGGATCTTAGAAACCTGAAAATGGGAAAGAAATGAAAGAGGGACAAGTACTTTTTAGGAAAAAGATACATGCTTCACTTTCCTTAGACCAGTATCTCCCAAATTATATCCAGTTACTTATTTAAGGTTTATTCCTTATCTAGACAGTTGATAAATATTTTCTGGGCATCTTCTATGTGCTAAACACTAGGAATACAATTGTGAGCAAAATAAATAAGGTCCTCACCCTCAAAAAAATGAAACTAAGCATATTACAAACTGATATAATGATAGAATTCCTTCTATTGGAACACTTTAACGTTGCTTAGATCAGAGAATACAATATGATAAACTGTTTTACAACAGATTTTTTTACCCTCTCAGCAAAAAAAATTATCACAGGCAAAATGCTTCAACAGATTTAGTAGCAAATAATGTTTCTGAATCCTAAATAACAAAGAATCTTCTGATAAGTATTTCAAAATATTTTTCCACTAAGTGAAACTATTTAGTTATTCTTTGTACTGATATTAACTAAAAGAGTTGGAAGATAGCAGAAAAAAACAAAATACTCGCTGTGCTGAATTTGGTTGTAATGTGATATTAATTAAAAAAAAAATCTTTCCCATTCCAGCCCTGGCCAGGTGGCTCAGCTGGTTGGAGCATTGTCCCATACAACAAAAAGTTATGGGTTTGATCCCAAATCAGGGCACATAACCTAGGTTGTAGGTTTGATCCCCAATCAGGGCATGTATAGTAGGCAACCAATCCATGTTTCTCTCTTATGTTAATGTTTGCTCTCTCTCTCTCTCAAAAAAAAAAAAAAATCAATAAACATATCCTCAGGTAAGGATTAAAAAAAGAAATCTTTCCTATTCCTTTTCTTCTAATAAGCCATTAGTCTAATTAAGGTACAACAATTCTAAAATAACCCACTGGTTGGCTCCAAAAAATTATGACGGGTGTTATTAGCAATTCATCTCCAAAAGCAAGTAGAAGGTTTTCTCAGGATACGGAAATAGGATGCAATGTCAAGCTTTGGTGATATTGGTAGAGAATGTTGAGTCTATATGGACTAAAAGCACCAGATTATGAAACTAACCCTCTGCAATCAGAATTTCAGCTTTACTACTTACTAGCTGTGTAATCCTCGGCAAGTAACTTAACCAATCTTTGCCTCAATTTTCTCTGGGAATAATAATTACATGTACTTACAGCTAGTGTATATATGTATATCTACTACTACATTAAATAATTATAAATATCTGTGAGGTATATATGCAAATATAACCATATACATATAGATAGCTACATATAGAATTTTTAGGTTATGTTATTGAGTACTTAAACAGAAGAGACTTTTAGGTTTCTAGCCATCAGGGTGAGTACTTTATAAGATCAGTGATACCTTCTGACTCACTGGGTGAGGACTAGGAATTGGTCTTGGAGAAAAGTCTTCATCTTCAACACCAGAGTCGTGATCATTTATTGGCATTTTTCCTGGAGTTAACTTTTGGGAAAACCTAAAGAGTAGAGGGGGAGACAGGAAAAAGTCTTCAGTAATCTAATGTTTATTCTTTCTTTTGAAAGTTGAAGAAAGTCCTTTAGTAAGCTATGGTAGTATTTGGATCATTTAACTTAGTATCTGACAATCATAAATTATTTTACTTTTCAGGCCAATGTTAGTTGCCCAGGACAGCTGGCCCAATGGACTCTTGCTTAATAAAATACCCCTTTGCCTGATCATGGCATGTTTAACCTAGTTATTCTTAATGTCACAATAAATCAACAGTTACTGAGCATCTTTGGTTTAAGCACTTTGAGGAGTGTAAAAATAAGTAAGGCATAGCACCTGCCATCAAAAACTTGTAACCTGTTAACGAAGATGTATTTTCACTGTATTAAACACTCACTGTGTTAAAAAGGGAAATCAAGTAAGGAATTATTTTTCCTATGCTTGTATCTGCGATGGGAAAATCCTTGGAGACATTAACTGAGGTGTCCCCTCCCATAGAGCCAGCTGCAGTCATCAGATCACAGGCGGCACGCCCCAGCAGAGAACACGGAGCTGGTACTGAGTTTCAAAAGCTGAAATTAGAGTTTAAGACTAAAATTTGGAAGACTAAATATAGCAGGTTTTTTGCATCCTAAACTAGATAAAGTCTCAATAGTATGGGTTAGGAAAGAGGAAAGAAAAGCCAGAAGGAAGCTAAGAGAACTTAGACATTAATGCATACTGTAAGAAAGGGTCCTGCATCTTACCTCCCTAGCAGAAAGAACAAGAGAAATCCCCAGGTATATCTAGCAGATCTGACAGAAGGAGACCTGTGCCCCAAGCCCTGGTTGTCTAGGACAGCAAACAGAAAGTTCTTTCTGTGCCAAGGTGCCACAACGAAACAATGTCTTCATGGTGCATTTAAACAGAGTGTCTGTACCAGTCCCACAAAGCTCTCCCCTCATACCCAAGAATGACATGGAGAATACACATATCCCATGTACCTCAGTACAGCACAGACACCATACAGAGAGCCAGTGACCTGAAACATGCTAAAGAGATTGCAGCAGGAACCTGCACAAACCAACTGCCAAAGACCAGATGCAAATGAAAACACCTCAGCAGATGGCAGCATGGATGATGATAATGTCACCCACATCACCAGTACTAGCCCAACATTAGTCCTCCTTAAATTACATATAACACCAGAGGAAAGAGGATAAACAGACCTTGAATTGACTGAAATTCGGCTTCTATATCCTAGCTTAATTAATAGGGGCTCAAAATGAAAATTAAGTTCAATTACCTTTAAAAAGAAAAAGGTCACTTTTTAAATAGATTTTATTTCTTTATTTTTAGAGCAAGGGGAAGGGAAGGAGAAAGAGAGGGAGAGAAACATCAATGGTAGTTGCTTCTTGTGCATCCCCTACTGGGGACCTGGCCTGCAACCCAGGCATGTGCCCTGACTGGGAATCGAACTGCTGACACTTTGGTTTGCAGGCCGGCACTCAATTTACTGTACCATACCAGCCAGAGCAAAAGTCACATTTTCTTTGTACATCTGAGTTTGTGGCAAGATTTTAATAACTGCTATATACTTATAAAACATACACATACACACACATTTCTGACACTGAGCAATAAAATCCATTTCTGACTTTTTTTAGCATCCAAGGCAAAAAGAAAATACTTTAGGTTGTATAGATATAACATCAGCTCTTTAGGCAAGACAAATATTTCATGAAAACCTAAAATGAATGATCTTTATTAAAACTTTGATCAAAGTTGAACATAGACATGGTTTTTCAACAACAATGTTAAAGAATTGCAAATGTCTCCTTAATTTGCTTTTACTTTCATAATATTCAATAAAATATTGAAGAAAGCCTTGCAGGGGTGTCCAACCTTTTGGCATCTCTGTGCCACACTGGAAGAAGAGGAGTTGTCTTCAGCCACCCATTAAATACATTGTGACATGTAATCACACACAAAAAAATCTCATGTTGTAAATAAATTAATGATTTTGTGCTGGGCCCCATTCAAAGCCACCCTGGGGTGCATGCAGCCTGTGGGCCACAGGTTGGGCTCCCCTGCAGACAGTAGGGGTGTTCTTGCAAAGCTGTAAAAATAGAGCTTTTGGGTCAAGATGGTGACATAGGCAGACATGGGTCACCTCTTCGCACAACCACATCAAAATTACAACTAGAATATAGGACAACCATCGCTCAGGAACATCAGGAATTGAAATGAATGGAAGTCTGAAAACTACAGAATTGAAGAAACCACATCCACCCAAACCAGTAGGAGGGGTGCTGATCTGGACCGGGTTGGCCCCACACACATGTGGATCAAAATTCTGGAGGGATATCTTGGGAGTGAGGAGCCCCGGCCCTACACCAGGCCCCCCAGTCCAGGGTTCCAGTGCCAGGAAGATAAATCCCAACTTCTGGCTGCAAAAGCCAGCAGGGAGTGAATGGGGGAAGAAACTGCTAGAGCCCGAAGCAGTTCTCTTAAAGAACCCACACATGGACTCACCTACTCAGACTCACTTCCTGAGCTCCAGCACTGGGGTAGCAGCTTGAAAGGCATCAGTGGTATATAGGAAGAAACTGAAGTTTGGTCTGCAATCAAGGAGAGTAGAGGCCATTGTCCCTTTTCTAAACCCTTTGTGGCAAGCTGGTGCCATATCTGAGATTCTATCAACCTGGCTAACACTGTTTGGTCCACCTTGGAGATCCCCAGAGACTCCACCCCAACCAACCTACCAACCCAACCAAGCTGCTTTTCCATATGAATGACTCATCTTGGCTCATGTTGTACAACTTCATAAATCCTGTCAAACAAGCAACAGCCAGCCTCAGTGAATCCCAGGACCAGCACTAGCAGCAGCCAGCCTAGATTCACAGTTTGGCTTCACCTGGGAATCTCCAAGCCCAGCCCAAGTAGCAACCATCTCAGATTGCTTTATAGCTCAGGCAGGAAGACCTGGGGCAAAACACAGGTTGGGGCTAACCTTGGCCTGCACCACGCAGGAAACCCTATGACCGGATCATCCAGTGGACAGCTACAGGCCACACCGGAGCACCACCACCCTGCCCCTGCACAGCTGATCCTCCACGGAGGGACAGGGGTGGTGGGAACTGGTCACAGCCAATCTTTGCAGCTGACTGGCCTGGGTAAATCCCTCCCACTGATCTGTCAGCAACAACCAAGGATGAATTACAAGAGGGGGTACTTAGCCTACATGAAAGATACACCTTGAGCACCCAGCTTGGGTGATAGGGGACATTGTGCCACTGGACCCTACAGGAGACCTATTACACTAGGCCACACTACCAAGACGGGGAGTCATAGCAGCTCTGTCTAATACAAAGAAACAAACACAGGGAGGCTGCCAATATAAGCAGACAAAGAAACATGGCCCAAACAAAAGAACAGATCCAAACTCCAGAAAAAGAGCTAAACAAAATGGAGATAAGCAATCCATCAGATGCACGGTTCCAAACACTAGTTGCAAGGATGTTCAAGGAACTCAGCTAGGTCCTCAACAGCATAAAAAAAGATCCAGTCAGAAATGAAGGATACACTAACTGAAATAAAGAACAATTTACAGGGAAACAACTGTAGAGTGGATGAAGCCAAGAATCATATCAATGATTTGGAACACAAGGAAGCAAAAAACAACCAATCAGAACAACAAGAAGAAAAACGACTCCAAAACAATGAGGATAGTGTAAGCAGCCTTTGAGACAACTTGAAGGCCAACGTTCACATCACAGCGGTGCCAGAAGGAGAAGAGAAAGAGCAAGAAATTGGAATCTCTTTGAAAAAATAATGAAAGAAAACTTCTCTAATTTGGTGAAGAAAACAGACATGTAAGTCCAGGAAGTGCAGAGAATCCCAATTATGATGAATGCAAGGAGACCCACTCCAAGACACATCCTTATTAAAATGCCATAGGTTAAAGAGAAAGAGAGAATAATCTTAAAAGCAGCAAGAGAAAAGAATTAGTTACCTACAGGGGAGTTATGACAACCATAAAAGACTATCAGCTGATTTTTCAAAAGAAACTTTGCAGGCTAGAAGGGAATGGCAAGAAATATTCAAAATCATGAAAAGTGAGGACCTACAGCCAAGACTGCTCTTTCCAGCAAAGACATCATTTAGAGTTGAAGGGCAAGAGGAGGAGGGCAGGGGAAAGCGGTGGTGAGAAGGTGGAGACAAATGTATTGAACAAAAAAATAAAAATTGAAATAAATAAGTAAATATATATTTGAACTGCCATAAAGCATGAGTAAGCAGAGTAAGTCAATTGGCAGTAAATCAGTTGAGAGATTAGAAAAGATATGCAAAAAAAAAAAAAGAAAGAAAGAAAGAAAAGATCATTTAGATCATTCAGTCCATGAGAGAGCAGGGGTGAGAATCTGGGCCCTGGAATTGTCTCTTCTTATGATGTTTTTTCATTCTAGTTCTAGATCTTTGCCACATGTAAGTTTACAATAAAGTCTTATTACCCTGTGCTGGAAAAAAAAAAAAAAAAAAAAAAGGAAAGAATTTAAGGGCAAATAATGACCTTCCCAGACAAGAAAAAAACAAAAGGAGTTCATCATCACCACAATTATTATATGAAATGTTAAAGGGACTTAACTTGAGGAAGAAAAGATCAAAACTATGAACAATAAAATGGCAATAAATACATATCTATCAAAAATTTAATCTAAAAAACAAACTAAGCAAACAAGAAGAACAGAGACAGCATCAAGGATACAGAGAACATTTTGATGATTGCCAGATGGAAGGGAGTTTGGGGTAATGGGTGAACGGGGCGGGGGGAGTATTAAGAAATACAAACTGGTAGTTACAGAATAGCCATGGGAATATACAGTATAGGAAATGGAGTAGCCAAAGACCTTTTCTTGCGTGATCCATGAACATAGACAATGGTGGGGGGCATTGCCTGAAAGACTGGAGGCATGCTGGGTGCAGGGGGGCAAAGGGGGAAAAATAAGAATAACTGTAATAGCATAATCAACAAAATACAATTTAAAATAAATTCTAAAAAAGAATAGTTTTCTGGTGACCTAACCTGTTTCAAGAATAACTTAAAATGTCCAAAGGTTGAGAGTATACCTCACATCTTTCAAATCTACAGAACCTGAAACTATGTGACAGTACATGATAAAAGGAAGTTTGCAGATATGATTAACTTAAGGATCTTTGGATGCAATTATCCAGGTAAGCCCAGTATGATCACAAGGGTCTTAATAAGATGGAAGCAAGAGGGTCAGTCAGAGAAGAAAATGTGAGCATAGGAGCAGATGCCAGAGAGAGAGAGATTTGAAGATGGAGTAAGGGGTCACCAGTCAAGAAATGCAGGTGGCTTCTAGAAACTGAAAAAGGAAATAAAATAGATTCTCCATTAAAGCTTCCAGAAGGAATGCAGCCTGCCATCATTTTTGCCCCTATCACTTTGGTTTTAGCCCCCCAAAACCATTTCAGACTTCTGACCTGCAGACCTCTAATATAACAAATCTGTATTGTTTTAAGTCACTAATTTTGTGGTAAATTGTTATAGCAGAAATAGGCAACTAACAGAGATACAATCATAATTCCCATTTTACAGAAGGGATACTGATGTTTAGAACCAGGACATGAACACAGATGTGTCTGATATCATAAATGGAGCTCACAAGGCATATTGTTATGCTGCCTCTATAAATAGTAGGCATAGGTGCATCCACTTTAAACTTGTATCATAGTTAATTTCCACCTATAAAATCAAGTGTTAAGGACAGATGAATGAATGCTATAAAAAAAAGTCAAGCCATTTTCTCAATAATTGCAATAATCTATAATGAACCATATACCTGCCTGCTTCTCACGTAAGGCACTAAACAGATAACACTTAAGGGACCCAAAGACAGGTTAAGGTTAGAATCAAAAAATTGAAGAGAGAAAAAAATGAACTTTTAGGACCAGAGTCCAAGAATAAATGAGTCATCCAAGATAACTTTTAGATGAGGCTATTATTTGGTAATTATTAAATTAATGGACCTCTCAGATAATATGGAGAACATTCAATACTCCCATCACTGGACTATTAGTTCCACAAGGGAAGGGATCATGTCTGGACGTATTTTTGATATCACCATATCCTCAGCCTTTAGTATATTATCTGACATAGGGATATGAAAGGGTAATTTTCTGGGTCAACTTGGCGAGGTCACAGTATCTAGATATTTTGTCAAACATTATTCTAGATATTTGTGAAGGTATTTTTTAGTCGAGAGTATCATTTAAATCAGTAGACTCTCAGTGCGGGCGGGCCTCATCCAATCAGTTAAGGGCCTTACTAGAACAGAGAAGCCTGACACCCCCGCACCGCCCAAGAAGACAGCATCCTGCTAACAGACACCTTTGGGTTCTAACTGTAAGTCTTCTCAACATGCCAGCCTACCCTCCAGATTTTGGACCTGCCAAGCCTCCACAATTGTGTGAGCCAATTCCTTAAAGCCTTCCTACGTGCGCGCGCGCTCGTGCTCTCTCTCTCTCTCTCTCTCTCTCTCTCTCTCTCTCTCTCACACACACACACACACACACACACACACACACACACAGAGTCAGTTACCTACTCTCTCTCTCTCTCAGTTCTGTTTCTCTGGACAACCCTAATACAAAGGAATATCTTCTTCACCACCAAAGGTATATACTGAACCAAAAAGTCACAAGCCGTTATGTAACTAATATTCCTCAGGTATATTTGCTTTAAAAGTTTTAAATATTTATTTTTTAGAAAGAAGGGAAGGGAGGGAGAAAGAAAGGGAGAGAAACATCAATGTGAGAGAGAAACATGGGTCGGTTGTCTCTTGCATGAGCTTTGACAGGGGACTGAACCCACAACCCAGGTATATGCCCTGGCCGGGAATCGAACCGGCAACCTTTCAGTTCACGGGTCAATGTTCAACCAACTTAGCCACACCAGCTAGGACTGCTTTAAAAGTTCTAAAAAAACCTCATTTTTTTTTAGGTAGGGGAATTAGTTTTTGGTTAATAGTTTATCTGACAGGCTTAGGTTTAAAACTATAAGGAAGGGAAGAACACACAAAAGGCAAACTAACCCAAAACAGGATGCTCTTCCTAAGCAAATACTTTTTTTCCCTGTGTAAAAAAGCAACTCAAATAAGAACCATATTAGAGCTGACACTTCATTAAAATTATCATCCAATTTCTGAGTATGAAGGAATGCATTTAAAGCAAAGACATCTATGGTATATAAGATATACAAATAGTTTCATCAGAAATAATTAATTTAATTACTCATCAAAAACTAATAAAAATAATTTAAAAGTACGCAGATAATAAAAATATATCTGTTACCTCTTAATTGAAAGATTCTTAGAAACTTTGTTGAAAAACTCTGTTTCTGCATTTTGGCTTTCGGCACTCAGTTCAAAATGTATTGGATTCTTGTCAGAAGGTTCAACATTCTGAAATGAAGTAGGCCACATTTTGAGATTTCTATTTAGATGAAACACCAGAGAATTCTATTTAGATGAAAGTAGCTCTGAAACACTGGGGCAGCGGCAGGGAGGTGGGGGGTGTGGGGGGGCGGTGGCACAGGGGGAGGTGAGACTTCTGATTTCTGTAACTTTAACCCTTTTAAAAGAATTTTTATCAAAATATAATTGACATATATCATTAGTTTCAGGTATACGACATAATGATTCAATCTTTGTATATATTGTGAAATGATCACTAAAGCAAGTCTAGTTAACACCATTACCACACAGAGTCACAATTTTTTTTTCTTATGATGAGAACTTTTAAGATCTACTCTCTTAGCAACTTTCAAATATAATTGACTCTTAAACAACATGGGGGTTAGGAGTGCTGACCTCCTGAGCAGTTGAAAATGCAATATAATGATAGCTGATCTTCTGGCATACATAGATTCCCAGTCTCAGAATGGACCCTTGAGCAATGTGGGTTTGAACTGCTTAGGTCAACTGAAAAAAATCTGCATATATGGGACCCATGCAGTTCAAACTCACGTTGTTCAAGGATCAACTCTATATAATAACTATAGTCACCATACTGAACATTATATCTCCAGGACCTATTTATTTTTTAACTGTAAGTTTGTACCTTTATACTACCTTCACCCATTTCTTACTCCCCCAAAACTACCAGTCTGTTCTCTGTATTTATGTTTTTTTTAGATTCCAATATAAATGAGATCATACGCTATTGGTCTTTCTCTGACTATTTCACTTAGCATAATGCTTTCAAGATCCATCCACGTTGTGGCAAATGGCAAAATATCCTTATTTTTTTATGGCTGAACAATATTGTATTGTATATATGCTCTACATTTTCTTTATTCATTCATCTATCGATGGACACTCAGGGCTGCTTTCATGTCTTGGCTATTGTAAATAATGCTGCAATGAACATGGGGATGCAGATATTCTTTTGGATTAGTGTTTTCAGATAAATACCCAGCAGTGAAACTGCTGGATCATATGGTAGTTCTATTTTTATGTAACCACCTTTTTTTTATATTGTTCATGTCCCTACCACAAAAGTGAAGTGTTAATCACCTGTATTAAATAACTCACTCAATAACCAGGGATTCAGTTAAAATAGTAACTTTGAACTGAAGATACAACCTAAAGAATAAAATGAGTAACTAATATATATCTCTAAAATAAAAATATATTAGACTTCATTTAAGATGATTGTATGTATAATTAAAATGCAAAAAACTTGATTCATGAACTGCTACAACCCTTAAGTAAAGTGAAAGCAGGCACAAAATAAGATCTGAGTGGAAACACATGGTTATTCAGATAATATTTTTGTAATAAAATATAAAATTTTTTAATTATTGATCTGAGGCATGGGACAACTAACCGTTATACTAAGAAGTGGTCTTGGAATATTTTTATAAAATGACACATATTTTTATGTATTTTAGTAGATATAGAAACAATATATTCTGATTCCTAGGATTATATATGATTAACACTGACCTAAGTGTGAGAAACCATTCGTTATATCCCTAGGTTTTAAAAATAACAATTAGGGCAAAGAAAACACTAAAATTACAAATTAACTCTCAATATTATAAAATGATACAACATATAAATTCCTTAGGCAGATTTTAAAGACTTTATTTATTTTTAGAGAGAGGGGAAAGGAGAAAGTGAGGGAGAGAAACATTAATGTGTGGTTGCCTCTCGTGTACCCCCTACTGAAGACCTGGCCTGCAATCCAGGCGTGTGACCTGACCAGGTGTCAAAACAGCGACACTTTGGTTTGCAGGCCAGCACTCAATCCACTGAGCCACACTAACCAGGGAAATATCCCTGCTATATTACTCAAAGGTTTTAGAAAAAACACTGGCAAACTATTCTGTGGATAACCTCTGATCCTATATCATAATTTAGTTCTGGAGATATGACCTAAAGTTAATAAAACAAAATTAACCATAAAAGAATAAATTAATATTCAGTAAGATTGATTGAAAATACACAAAACCTAATAATTACTGTTTCAAAGGGCAAAGACTGTTGGGCTTAAACCAACAACACGAAACTCTAAACAGTCGTTAATCAAATCAAATCACTTACTTTGAAAAGATGTAATGTTTCCTTACTGGTTAGTAGCTGGAATCGAAGGTCCGGTGAGGTACCATCACAAGGGAGGCACTCATAAAACTCAGGCTCCTTATGCGTCACAGAATATAGAACTATAATGAAATTTCCAGACTCTGAGAAAACCCTGGATGAAAAAAATGCCATTTAATTAAAATTTACTAAGGATAACAAAAGCATACTCCAAGAACTCTATGAGAGTCTCTCCATCTACCTAATAGACTGACTAAACAGTCCAATTTTTGGAAGAAAACTGGGGGAGCAAATTCATGCTTTTTAATGTTACTGATTTTTAAGTACATTATGGAAAAAAATCACTTGTAAATACTTTGAACAAGAATATAAAATAAAAAATGAAAGCCACCCTCTTCTACTCTCCAGTTTAGTATATATATTTCCAGGTTTTCTCCTATACAAAAACATTTTACACAATTTAAGAAAAATGAGGCCATACTATACACATGATTTGCAATTGCTATTTCTTATCTAACCCTCCTGGATTTCTTTCCATGCCACTATTCCATATTATATCTCAGACGTCCTAATTCTTTTTTTTTTTTTAGCAACTACCAGTATCATGATTTATAGAAATTCCATTATTGATTCTCCTAGACTTCCAGAAAGTATATTCGAATTATGGTATTTACAATGTTTCATTATTACAAACACTGATAAAGTGAATATTTAATTATTCATTACAAAACAAAAAGTGATCAAGAGCCTTTACAACATGTACTAAAACCAACAATTTAGCCCTGACTGGTTTGGCTCAGTGAGTCGGACATCGTCCTGCAAACTGAAAGATCGCCAGTTCGATTCCCGGTCAGGGCACATGCCTGGGTTGCAGGTGGGGGTGTGTGAGAAGCAACTGATCCATGTTTCTCTCCCTCTCTTTCCCTCTCTCTAAAACAAACAAACAAACAAACAAACAAATAAATATTTCTTAAAGTAAAACCGCCTTGGCTGTTGTGGGTCAGTGGATTGATTGCTGGCCTGAGAACCTAAGGGTTGCTGATTCGATTCCCAGTCAGGGCACATGCCTGGGTTGCAGACCAGGTCCCCAGTTGGGGGTGCATGAGAGGCAACCACACATTGATGTTTCTCTCCCTTTTTCTCTCTCTTCTCCTCTCTCTAAAAATAGATAAATAAAACCTCTTAAAAAAAAAAAAGTAAAACCAACTATTTAAAAATACTTCCAGTAGTTGTCCCTATTTTGTAAAACACTGAATGAAAAAATAATTTAGGGATACATTATACTACTAACAAAACAAAGCAGTAAAGGATGAAGAGGAAGAATGCCTAAACTCTTCTCTCAAGGATCAGACAAGGCCACTGCTCAGAATGCTGTAAAGTACCTACTAACCTAAGCTACACTAAACAATGCTTGACTCCTCTCTGGCTCAAATCTCCCTTGAAAGGGTTGGCAATAATTAAATAGTTCAAATACAAAAGGAATTCCCTAATGCTTCATACTGAATACAGACTGAAAAAGCTTCACAAATAATTTTACTGTCAATAAGAACTTAAAGCGAGACCAGTCATTGATAATTAAACAACTGTGCGAATACACTAAAATGAACACTTGTTTTTACTACAAATAAAGTTGTTTTTTAAAGTTGAAATAAAATGTAAAAAGCAAAACTTGCTTTTGAAGAAAGCACAAGAGATTTTTTATTTCAATAAATACTCCTGGAGTGAGCAAATCCTTTCTAAGCAAGATAGGAAAAAGTTTTATAAATATTACTTCAAAAAAGGCTATTTGGGAAAAACACCATTAACCAAAGTTAAATCAAGTGGTAATCAGGGAGGAAAAAAAGCTTCTCCATACACTTTTATAAGTATTATCTCCTTCTATATTTTACATATAAAACACACACACATTCACACAGAGTCATGCACTCCTTAATGACAGGGATATGTTCTGAAAAATGCATTGTTAGACGATTTCATTGTTGTGAACGTCACTGAGTGTACGTACACAAACCTAGATGGCATAACCTATTAAACACCTAGGATATATGACCATAGTCCACATGTGGTCTGCTGTTTGACCAAAATGTTAGGTGGCACATGGATGTATACAGAGAATGAGAAAAAGATTGTGAGCTATTTCAAAGCAATATGAAAAGATGCACAACCCAAGAGAATAATAACAAGAGCCATGCGTAGGAAGTTCCCAGAAGATGGTTATAACACATGAGAAAAGACCATTACCATTAACTCTTTGAGGTCCTGCTACTCTCCCCCTTCTCTCACTCCTCTTCAGCCACACTGGTTTCCTTGCTGTTCCTTAAAGATGCAAGGTGATATTATGCCCATGGCCTTTGGACTTAATGTACACCCTGCCTGGGACTACCCAGACAGCCACATGGCTCATTCCCTCACCTCAAGTCTTTGCCTGACTGATTACCCTATTTAAAATTGTTACTCTTTACCTGCCACTACCATCCAGACACACAACAGCCTCCTCCCTTGCTTATTTTTCTCCACAACACTCATCACCTTATAAATTATTACTTATTTAATTTGTTCTATTTACTGCCTATAACTGCAGGGTCTTCATTTTGCTTACTGCTTATCCACAGTATTGTGAACAGTGCTTGGGACATCATAGGTGTTCAATAAACATTTGTTCCACGGTTTTAGTGAGGGGATGGAGAAAACAGGCACTCTCAAACAATGCTGGGAGGGTTATAGATGGGCAGTCTTTTTAAGGGCAATTTGGCAATGTCTACCAAAGTTTAAAATTACCAGAAAAACCACTTAGGAATATATTCTACAAATATACTAAGATATGCACACACAGACATATAATAAAAAGGACTAGTTTTTCAAGTATAGTATCTATTATATACTACTCAGTTGTAAAATGTATGTCAAATATGTACATACCAAGATGTAATGATCTATAAGGAATAATGATATAGGAAAAAAAGCAATATACAGAAAAGGAAGAACGGTATGTTCTCATTTGTGATTTAATTTTTACAGGCCATTGGAGGGTGAGATCTGTCTATGCATTGCATATTTCAAGAAGAAAGCACAAGATACTAGTTAACAGTGGTTATCTCTGGGGATGGATCTGGAGAAATGAAGTAGAAGAGAGACTTATCTTTATTGTATCTTTATTATATCTGATTTATTACCATATACTTGTACTGTCTTTTCAATAAAGTTTTTTCTAAAATGAATTATAACCACCCAAGGTAGACAAAAACAGACCTCTGAATTTTAATTTACTAGATGGAGAAGGTAAGAGGCAAACAGTGGTATCATGTACAAAGTAACAAAATTGAATGAGGAACTGAGGTTAGAAATAAATTTCCCTATTTGTTCCAATGCTTGTACTTTAGTTCTAGGAGGAAAATTAAACACCTCCTCTCAAAGGTTTCTTTGAGTGCTAATAATATCACTGTGTAACTTAATAACACTTGTAACAAATTCAAACTTACTTCAGCCATGTCACTGAAAATGAATCATTATTTTTAAAACAGAACACTAGAGAACATGATCTCTAGGGTTTTTGGTTTTTTAAAAAGATTTTATTTACTTATTTATTTTTAGAGAGAAGGGCAGGAAGGGAGAAGGAGGGAGAGAAATATCCATGTGCAAGAGATACATGGGGTCAGCTGCCTCTGGCACACCCCGGAACCAGGGACCTAACCCTAACCCAGGCATGTGCCCAGACCCTGAATCAAACTGGCAACCTTGCAGTTTGCAGGTGCCCACTCAATCCACTGAGCCGCATCAGCCAGGGCTATTTATTTATTTTTAGAGAGATGGGAAGGGAAAGAGAGGGAGAGAAATATTAATGCATGAGAGATACCTTGACTGGTTGCCTCTCACATGCCTCCAACAGGGGACCTGGCCCACAACCAAGGCATGTGCCCTGGCTGGCAACTGAACTGGTGACTTTTCATGTTGTGGGATGGCGCCCAACCAAACAAGCCACATTGGTCAGGGCAAGGCTTTGCATGAATTTTAAAGATTAATAAAATATGAACAGAGGAAAAGATCAAAATAAAATACAAGAGAAAAATACCACTTGCCTTTCTTGAATAGAAGAACTGAACATGTATCGCAGGCAGCAAGCCCATACCTGAGGACTATAGATATGTATAATGCCAGAGAGCCATCTAAAAAAACAGAAACAAAAAAAAAATTCAAAAACTATAGTCATACACAAATTGATACTTAATATACTTTATTTTTATTTATTTTTTAAAGTTACTGATTTTGGGGGGGGAGAGAGAAACGGACAGACGGTGAGGGAGAGAGACACTAACTTGTTGTTTCATTTATCTATGCATTCATTGGTTGATTCTTGTATGTGTTCTGCCCAGGGACAGAACCTGCTACCTTGGTGTATCAGAAGAATGCTCTAACCAACTGAGCTACCCAGCCAGGGCTTCTACTTAATGTACTTAAATTACATTCTTCTTAGGTAAGAGTCTTGGCATACACCAGCAATACATTAAAGGCCTCATAAATGAGAAATCTATTAACACCAGACCATGCTAATAATTAAGAATGAGTATAGATACAGATATATAAAGAGCTTCTTTCTGTCCTCTCCTGCCTGAGATGAAGGGAAAATGGCTGGAGAGAAAATGGTTAACCATGGGGTGAAAGCCAGAATCAAATAGAATCAATTAGCATGGACTAGAAAGAATAGACAATTTGGGGAGAATGAAGTCAGCAGCTCAAACTATAGAGTTACTGAAAGGGTTAAATATTGTACCATATATAGGTGGCCTGAAACATACAAGACTCTTAACAGATATTCACTTAACGAGAAAGGCAAGTACCATATGATCTCATTCATACATGGAATCTAATGAATAAAATAACAAACAAAATAGAAACAGACTCATAGAGAACAGACTGACAGCTGTCAGAGCGGAGGGCTCACTTGAAAAGCTGGAGGGATTAAGCAAAAAAAAAAAAAAAAAAGACAAATAACAAACAAACTCATACAGACAACAGCATGGTAATTACCAGAGGGAAAGGGGGCGAGGCGTGGGGAAGGAGGTAGAAGAGGGAAAAGGGAAGGTGAATGGTGATAGAGGGAGACTTAATTTGGGGTGGTGAAAACATAATACAATATACAGATGATGTATTATACAATTGCACACCTGAAATCTAATTTTATTAACCAATGTCACGCCAATAAATTCAATTAAAAAAAATAATCACTTAGCATCAAAAGCCCATAGCCAATGTCAGAAGCATAGCAAACAGAATGTATGAGACTTCGTGACTCACAGAACATTTGTGCATTCTCACGTTTTAATTTTGCACATATTATTCCCTCACACTGGTTCCTTCCCCACCAAGCCTCCTTTCTATGATCCAAACACTAAAAGGTCCAGCTCAAGAGTGATTTCTCTAAGAAAATGTTCCCACTATCTCTCTCACAAGTACTAGTAGTACTCACTGTTGATGATGTTCATTTCAAAGCAAATCATATACAGTTATACCTTGGCACTTGTTGGCTTTAGAACTCATCCAACCCTGTACTCATTGCATTTTGATGAGGAAAAAAAATGTTTCAGCACTCAGCACTGGCTGAGGACTCACCACCCTCGCTAGAACTTGTGTGAATCACGACGCCTCCCCACAAAGGAAAATGCTTCATCATTCGGTACTTGTTGGTTTTGGCACTCCTCACGAGTTCCTGAGTTCCTGAACGAATTAACGATGAGTACCGAGGTACCGCTGTATATCCTTATTATTTATCTTTCTATGTGTGAATATTTGAATATTTTATCACCTCACCTTGATTATAGATTTCTTGAGGAGCTTTAAATCCCAACACAATACCAAACATAATACTACACATATGATAAGCACTCAATAAACCTGGAATGAATATAACTTTCTGACTGAACACTGTCTAAATGTCATTAACCACTAACTAACTCTAAAGAGAAAGCCATTAATATTTAGAGGAATTTCTGCAAAACTGCCTGATAGGGAATTTTAAGGTATTTTTCTAGCCCTGTGTTCTTAAAGTTGCCTTAAGGACAACAGGTAGTGAAGAAAGTTAAAGAAAAAGGATTCTAATGCCTCGACTTCAACCAGAACTCGACTTTCTCTGTTTTACACATTTAAATTCTTCTTAAGACTGGCAAAACTTGTTTTAACTGATTCTACCATTAAAATAAGTTTAAGAAATCATTGTCTATTGTGGTTTTATAAGGTGATCTAAGTTTTAATCACATATTCATAGCACAACTGATTCGCATGTTTATCATATACATTTGAACACATACATGGCTGAAAAGGTTTTCATAAATAATGCAATACTTACATTCCCACTAATGGTAAAGAATAAACCTTGGGATCAGATTCCAGCAAAAGTAACAACTTGCGAGTTTCATCCATGGTAAGATATCTAAACAGAAAACATTTATGTAAAAACAGCTGGAAGTACATGCTTTTGACCTTTAAAAGAGATCACCTGAGTGCTGAAGCACATTTTTAGGCAGGGGACATAATTCAAATGAATATTCTCTCTCTCACACACATGTACACAAATAAAACAGTTCAAAGTATTAAAAAAAAAAAAAGATTCCAGTAAGAGGAAATTAAAGATATTCAGTATGTTAAAATTCCATCCATTAAAATGGTAATTGAAAATTACACACCTTTTAAAAAAGTTTTGCTCTAAAAGTGTCAGTTTATTTTAATCAAAAGTATTAAAATCAAGGCTAACAATTTCAGAACCATATAAGTTTCCCTGGAAGAAGTGAATTTCCTTTTACTGTAGGTGTTCAACCATCCAGGTGATTTGACAAGTCTGCAACAGATACGACTTCTCCCTGAAGGAGGCTGAATTAGGAGAGGTACAATATATTCAGCCTTCCATGTACTACAGTCCTCCACTATTACAGAACTTTGGGCCCATCATTACAGAACTCAAAAGTACATTATTCCGTAAAAGGATATTATACTATATTTATACTTTATTATTGTTTATTACTGACAGTAAGTTTTGAGGATATGAATAACTACAGTTGAGTTGTGGAGAGTTAATTTTATTGTTATGACTTTCAAATACAAAAATAAAACAAAGCCATTTGTGAAATAAAGTCTTGATAGACCCACTGAGGATATAATTCATTGTTATAATAACCCTAGATAATGAATTTGATAAAGATAATGAATTTATCAGGCCATGGGATGAGACGATTAAGCCTGAGTTGGCAGGGGATTTATCAATGACACACGTGTTTTGAAAGCTCTTCTGCCTTACCTACCTGATAAATTCCTATTCTCTAAAAGAATCAGCTCAGGCTTTCCATGATTTTCCCGGGCAATTTGGACACTCCTTCCTAATTTCCCTGCACTGTATATAAACCCCTATTATCTTTATCCATATCATGTTTACATGTTAATATACTTAGCAGAGAGTTAGTATGCTTTTGTAAAAATCTATTTAAGTTCACTCTCTAATGTAATACCTATTCCATAATGGATCCTAGTAAGTATTAGGGTGAACAAATGAATGTGGTAAGGAAAATGACAAATCTCATGAATTTAATACTTAATTATAGATAATAAGAGGTAAGGGGAATGGACAATTAAAATGTTGAACACCCTGGGTAGCATGCCAAGGGATCACAGAAGGATAATTTAGAGAAAAGTAAATTTATATTTCATTAGTAGACAGGCATGGGTACTAAGGAAAACAAATTATTATTTCTGTTAATTTTAACACAAATTCCCATGTCCCAATTGAGAATCACTCCAAGGGCATTAATGCTACACTTAATGCAAACATTTTTATCACCATGATATTTAATCAGTCCCTGATTCTGGAATATACGAACACATCTTTAATGCTACTCCAACCAGAAAGGTCAGCATGTGGGACCTCAAAATGGGATCTTTCTTGCTATTCCAGGGACCCTGTGAAAAGAAAATCCTCACTTCTCCTTATCCTCTTTTGAAGAGGCATTCTTTAGAGAATAAGACTTGGAGTTGAGTGTTCTTTGGCAAACATTTCTAGCTCTAGAGAGCTAACAGGAACTAGGGTGGAGTCTAGTGGGAAAGCAAGCCAGAAGTGAACTGCTTAGACTTTAAAGCAGAGGGTGCTTGTATCTTCTAACCTAGTTCAGGTGACAATGGATAAAGAAAGTAGATGAGGATTCAGGGAAGCAGCCCTGCTGAGGAGCAGAAAGCATGCAATTTGGCTTACATTTCCTAAGAAACTAAGAGTGGTGATAGGAAGCTGGATAGGATGCTGTTCCAGCTATGTGAAGGAAGCTCCACCCTCAAGTGGTTAATAATTTGGTAAACTAGAGTACTATAAATTTTTTTTTATCTTCTTTCTATCTGCAATGCTCATTATTCATAAGTAAAACTGCATAAAGAAATTCTCCAGACTCTTTTAGGCTCATAATCAGTTACTTAAAAAAAAAAAAAAAAGTTAAAAAAATGATGACCTATAACTAAGGCAAAATACAAGGGACAAAATGATATATAGAGAATAATTTCTCCTTGTATTTTCAAATTACAAAATACAACCAGTTTTAATATAATTTTTACCACTAATTTTTCTTGGGGTGGTGCATACAAGTCTTTGAAAGAAAACTATATTCAGCAAAAATTAACAACTTAATGAAGTACCTTTCACCTTCCTTATTCATGTAGCACTGCAGATTTCTGGCATGTAAACTGACTGCACAATTATTTCATATTATATGGGTATCATAAAAATATATTAATGTGACCAATATTTAAAATTTTGGATTAATAGATCTTTTACTTACCCATATTTATAGGTACCTTGAACTTGGGAAATATTCAGATTACTGCTTAAGTTTCGTGCCAGAGCTGTTGGAATAATAGGGATGGGCTTCACTGGTGTACATTTAAAGGTATTTGCTAGAGTTACTGCTGCCCAATGTAAATCAAAATCCACAGTGTCCAAACTCTCACTGGAAGTGATATGAGCTCTTAGGGAAAGCAGTTTACCACAATCCAAGGAGTCTTTGCTACATACATGGTGCTGCAGAGCCTAAGGAATAAATATTATACAATTATTTTAAAACTCTGTAATATCTCCAAAGGTTTAATTTGATTCTGATGCACATACACTTATATATCTCATACTAACAAAATTGAACTATTTCACTTACAAAATTTCAATTACCTCATTTCTTTCCTGTGAACAAAAGGTTACATGACTAATTTTGTCAAAGCAATTAAGATTGACTACATTAAGCTTCATCACATATTTACAACTTAGATGTCTCAGCAGTATTTCAAATTCTCATTGGACAATGTCATTTCTAATAAATATTATTATATAGGGGAAAAATGGATATAAATTGACTCTGACTCTGTCCTGGAAAATCTAAAATCCATTCCTCTTTCTTTTCTTACTATCCCCAATTGTCAAGTAGGCTCTTTCTCTGCAGTTGCTTATGCTGTGTCCTTTCTAGTCTGCCACTACTTTATTCCAGGCTAATATGCCCCTCTTTTAACACACACCTGACTATCTCAATGGCCTATCTATCCTGACTACACAGGTCAGCTTAACTACCCTTGATTAACTACCAAATTAACTACCTATCAAATTAACTACCCTTGATTTAACAGTATTTCCTCTTTTCAGAAACTTTCAATGACTCTGCATGACCCACATGAAAAGTTCAAATTCATTAACCTGGCAGACAAGGCTCTCTATACCTGGACAAACTAATACTCCAGTGTGACCTCACACAAACCTAGCAAAAATCTATACTGTTAAAGTCATCCTGAGTACATACTGCATTTTGCTATCCTGGACACACTGTTTCCTCTTCTGAAATGCTACCCATATTACCTATCTAGGATTTCTGCTCTTAGAAACAATGTTTAATTGTATTTTAGGTCAACAAATTATTACAAATACTTAGTAAATATTGATTTATTAAAATACAACATAGTACACAGTTTGACTCTCGTGTTGAATTAAGAATAATCAAATTATCAACAAATCTCACCTTAAAAGCTGAACTGAGGTTATCTGCATTGTGAATCATTATTTCTCTTGAACAAAGTCCCTGAGTCTGAACTTTGCATGGAATCACGAAGTCCCCAGGGAGAGAAGCAGTAGGGGTTCTTTCAGAGCATTCAGGTACTTCTCGACCAGGATCAAAGCGATCTACTGTCAATATCACACCTTCTTCATCTGAAGAACAAAAATAGCAATTATTATATAGCATGCCATTTAAAAATGTGAAACCAATTAAGCAAGCATACATTATATCAAAACATTATATTCATACTGATAGTAACACTAAGTTCTTTTTAAAAATGACTTGCATAGTCAGTCTTCCACCTGACCAGACTCAAATCTGTGATGTGTAGTTCCAAGTTTTATTTTTTCATAACCTTGGTACACAGCAAAGAAAATTAGCACAAAGCACATTACAATAATTGGCTAAATTAGTAAACATAAACTCTATTATAGTAATAAAAATAATTTTTTTGATGTATAAACTATTTATTAACAGACAAGGCCTGCAGATTTATTTCTTCTTGGACACACGCACAGTGTGACCCTGATGGCCCATGGTTTTAGTGGGCTGGCTTCAAACACAAAGACCCCAGAACTGGCACAGTTCTCTGCTGGCCCCAAATTTCTTGAGCCACTCCAGGTCTTCAAGAAGCTTGTTGTCCAGATACTGGCCAGGACCTGGCTGTGTTTTCCATCCTTCACATCCTTCTGTCTGCTCAAGAAACAGTCTGGAATCTTGTACTAGTGTGGATTCTGCATGTGGTGATCACGCATTCCATGTCATCCTATGAGCTCTCCTGCCCTCTTGGTGAGGTTGATGTCTGCCTTCCTGAATATTACACGAGCATGTCTTTGTGTCACACTCTTAACTGTAGCGATGGCAAAGGCTATCTTCCATTGTCCATCAATATTGGTGTTAAGTACTCATAAAATGTGCTACAAATGCTCAGGAATCACTAAAGACAAGGCAACAGCAGCGTATAGGTAAAAAAATAACTTTTTAAAAGTATATTACCTTCATCTATTGTGAGAGAACCGAGTAAAAAGCATGGCAAGTTCTTTTTATTCTGCTTAGCATGTCGACAAGCAAGTCGGATGGTCTTTTCAGTTACCACAAGCTTTGGATTTCTGTAAAACAACAAGTCTTTTATGAAGGTAGTGGGTCTAATATCCTCAAAAAAACCTCCTGCCATGAAATGCTGCCTAAAATATAACTCACATCTTTAAAAATATACAGAAAGAACATTGTCAGGAAATTCTAGGGTCAGAGGCAGGGCACAGGGAGGCCTGCCTGGAAATCAGGACTGCAATAAGCAGATGCTGGAATTATAGTTGTTTTCCAGGCATTTACTTGTATTATGAACCAGAACAGGGCTTGAGAAGCTATGAGGCCAACCTCCTGTTTTTGTAAAGTTGGAATTAAATAGTCACATCCATCAGTTTACTTATTGTCTAGCATTAATGAATATAGAATATCAATAAATATTATCTAAATATTTAAAGGAATACGAAAGGAACTCTAAAATATGAGCAAGGAACAAAGATAATATTAAGTACACTAGCCAATTTGAAAAAGAACCACAAAAAACTTATAGAATTAAAAATGTAATCAATTAAACTGTGTGTATATAAAATCATATATACAGTATACTTCCACATTAAAAAAAAACAACCCTTAATGAACAGGTTAGATGGTAATTAAACACAGCTAAAAAAGAAAATCAGTAAAGAACAAAAGAAATTAAAAAGCACAGAAGGAGAGAGAAAATGTAAAAGATAAGTTGAAACGGAGAAAAGAATGAACAAATCTAACAAATATTTAATTGTACTTCTACAAGACTGTTTCTGTCAATGACACCACTCTTCTCTGCCAACTGGTTTAGAACCTAAATACTTTTTGACTTGTATCTTCCCTTTAGTTCCTCTGTTCAGTAAATCATCAAATGCTAGAAACTGTTTCTTCAAAAACACCTAGTTTCATTCTTTCCCCTTGATCTCAGTACTGCTCTAAACCCTTATAATAGCTATCATTTTGAATACTTCCTATATTCCAGGTACTGTGCCAACTGATGTTTTGCAGAGTCTGTCTCATTTAATCCTTACGATAGCACTAAGAAACCAGTAGCATTATCCACATTTTATAAGTAAGGAAACTGACCCTTGGCTATTTTACTGAGGTCACATGAATAAGAAACGGTAGAATCAGAACATGACCATCTAAGCAGTCTAACTCTAAATATAGCACCTTAAACCCGTATAGCATAAATCTGCTTCTTATACTACAGAAAACCATCTCACAGGTAAACTGACTCTAGGATCTTCCCATTATGATCCAGCCTTAGAATTCTGCTTTTAACAAGTAATTTTTTATATTAAAAAGCTCAATTAATCTGTTTTCTATTACTATAAGCCTAAGTTTCTGTGTCTTTCTTTCAATATCCTGGCCATAACCATAATATTTTATAATCCTCCTAGTATGGTCTACTCACTCAAAATCAGTTCAATCTTTTCAATGCTCAACAAAGACATAATGCTAAAGCATTATGAAAAAACCCTTTCAATTATTATTTTGTCTCTTTTGAGTTTTTATAATACTGAGAGCTTTAGGTTTGCAGACCATTTGAACTGTAAAATTAAGATTATTTCTCAAAAGCATGAAGAACAGTTTTTTTTTTTAAAAAAAAAAGCAGAATGGAGAGAAGATTATGAATAGAAAAGTAAAAAATAAAAAAAATGTCATAGTAATCAATTTTGCCTTACACATTCTTCTGACTCCTGCTTATACTGATTTGATTTGAAAAGAGAAACATCTTATACCTGTAGTAATTAAGATGTAAATAGATGAAATCTCCAATTGGCATTGGGTTCCAAAGTGCACATTTTGATGGAGGAAAGTAAAAAGGTACCATCCTGCTTGAAGAAAACCTTAAAAAAAAAAGTTTCAAATCAGAGAACACTGAAAAGCAACCTTAGTAGAAACTTTATAAGAAACAGTTTAAATGATGAAGCTTTTCAGATTACTTTTGTTATTTTAGAAGAATTGAAAATATTTTTTAAAATAAAATGAAAAATCTCCTGTAACTCTACTATTAAGAGAATAAGCACTCAAAATTTAGGTATAGCTTTTTTGTCTTTTTTTTTCTTATGCATACAAAAATTAATACACACACAAGCTTTTAAAAAAGAACCAGTAGTACTAATCCTATAAAAATCCTATTTAAGTAACAGAAAATCACATATAAGCCATAAATTTACATTGAAATTTAAAATCAAATCTGTCCTTCACAACTAATTTCTAGTTCATACCTAATAAAATTATGAAAAACACAAAAACTTAATAGAATTTTTATTTTTCACTGTTTTCAAATTTGGTATATTGGGCCTTATCACATAAGTTAATTACTGAAGTATCAAAAGCACATTATAAATAAATAATTCCTCAACACAGATCCCAGGGGTTGTATAAAGCAAGGTTTCGATATTAAATCATATAGGGTACCATCACAAAGATTTTATTTATGTGAGTAACATAAAACCACAATAAGAAAAGGACAATGGAAAGAGAGGAAAAAAGTTCGTAATGTGGACATAATCTGAAATTAAGAAATTTGTTCATGGTCACAAAGCTAGTAAGTAACAAACTGTCAGTTTATCTATGTCTCTATATCTAATATACAGGGTCCAGCAGAAGTAACACCTACCTGCGTGTAGTTGTTAGGGTAATAATATGGGTGTAATAATTTATAGTTTTAATTTGAACATTTCACCTAAAATGTAATATGGTGTGCTTGAGTGTGATATTGTTATGTTATAGAGTTACATGCTGATGATTTTGTAATGAAAAAGGGGCATTATTTGTGCTGGACCCCATATTTATCATTTACCAATGGATGAAAAGCAGTATGATGTACAGGCTAAAAGTAAAAAGTGTGGAGATCAGTTGCTTAGGTCTGAAATCTGGCTTCGAAGTTTGCTAGTTGTGTAAACACAATCAAGTTATTTAATGTCTTTGTGCCTCAGGTTCCTCACCTGTTAAACAGTATAATATATCAGCATCTCTTGGCAGTTATATTGAATATTAAATGAGTTAATATATGTAAACTGCTTAGAGGAATTCCTGGCTTATTTTAAGTATTAATGTTAGGTATTTCTTTTTGCTCTTAGCAGTCCATAGTATCTCTTAAGGCCAATCTACATTACTTCAGGTTTACTTCATTGCAGTATCATAGAGTAGAAATAATATCATGTTTAAATCCTGGCTATACTGCTTACCAATTGTATAACTTTTGGTTGGTTAATCTCTCTAGACTACAAGTTTCCTCATTTAAGAAAAAAAGAGGGGGATAATAATAGTATTTACAACTCATATGTTTGTTGTGAAGGTTAAGAATAATGCATACAAAGTACTGGGCACCACAAGATTTTATTAAGTGCTGTTATTAGTCTTTTTCTTAATCTAAGGTATAAACATAGACGTTGGAGGCAAGGGAAATAAAAACACCCTTAACTTGCGTGCAAAATTTTGCATGTATACATATAATACTTCTCTTAGGAAATGAAATTCATGGCTATCAATATTCAAAGCAGTGTATATCACCAAAATAACTGAGAATTGCTAAAGCCCATAAATCACTGAAAACCAGGTTTCAGTAAAACAAAAATACAGAAAACTCGAGTTGAATATGATTTTTAAAAAAACTAGAATTAAATATACCAGGAATAATCAGTTTATACACATGGGTATATTATTTTACCTAGAATATAAGAAATAAATTTGACCTAATAATAAGTTAAGAGAGAGAAGAACTTCTGTTGACAAATTTTCAAAGAATAAGAGGAGGAAGTAGAACAAAAGGACCAAAATTAAGCAAAAGAAATAAGATAGCCCCTTTGGGTCATGTTTCCCACTGTCTTCATCAAAAAACACCTGGCACAAAGAAAAGCAATACAAAGAATAAAGGTAACTCATAGATGCACTTCTAATTTAGATGAAAAAAATTCACATGTCAGCACTAATTGTTCTTCCCTAGAGGAAAAAGAGAACAATAAAGGATCCAAAGAGGCAAATAACACAGATAATTTACACAGTACCCTTAGTATTGACAGACTGAGAAATGAGGAAACAGATGGCAAGCTCCTCCTTCCTACTCCATATGAGTGGGAAAGGCTTAGGGATATTTAAGGAAACTAGGTATATCCAATGTGAAATTTTTCCCAGCAAGGAATTAGGGTTTAGAAGAGGAAAAGAATCCAAACACTTTCCCACTTATCCGGGATACAAATAAATTTTTAGCCTTAAGAGTTCAGGTACTATTTCCATCAATAAAAAGATCCTTGCCCTGTCCAACAGTTCATCCCAATATGGCAAGGTTGTGGGTTCAATTTCCCATCAGGGTACACACAGGAAATCAATCAATGTATGCATAAATAAGTGGAACAACAAATGGATGTCTCTCTCTCCCCTTTCCTATATAAAAATCAATAATTTTTTAAAAATATGAAAAATAAGCAACCACCTAATTTTTAAAAAATCCTCTGTAAAACTAAAAAAAGGGAATGAGGGAATGAGTTGAAAATTTACCAAGTGCCTACTATGTATGTGTCAGATCCTTTAGTAATCTTATTTAACTCTTCACAAAAATCTTCTGTTAGGTAGAAATTACTATCCCCAACTTACAAATGAGGAAACTGAGTCTTAGAGAAGTTAATTAACTTGATCAAGGTCACCCACCTAATAATTGGCAGAGCTAGAACATGAACCCAGATTTTCCTGATCCTAAAGTTTTTTTCTTCTATTCCAATCTACCTTCCCAAGTTGTGTGAGCAGCTGAGGAAAAAAACCAAAACATTGTATAAAAAATATTTCTATACCTGGTATTCATCTGGGACCCTGCAAGGGGATATGGAGGTTCCATGATAGTTGGTGAATGATTTATGAAATTTCAAATGCTCAGTATCCTAAAAAAGAGAATATTACTAATGAGTGATAAAAATAAAAAATAAGAAACATGATTTAACCACTTATTAACAAATTACAGACAAAATTATTTTACTTGTATAAAGTGTCTTCATTTATAGATTAACAAGATAAAATCTTTGTGGGTTTTAATTATTTTCATACTTTATAGTCATTCTTCCTACAAATTAATATTTATCCTAAGCAGCAAAACCTACCAATATACCTATTCATTAAGGAAAGCACAGATTCTGCCCCAAGATCATTGTATCAACTAAGAGAGCTGGGTAGGTAAGGTAGTATTTAATACATAAGATTTTGACCAAAAGTTGCAAAATATTTTTTTAAACCCCACAAAGCAGCAGATAGGAATAAGTTGGGCTAGATATTTATTGGGTCTATAATGAAATCAATGAACCTTCAATCTTGTGCATATGGAAGATATACAATGCATCCCCACAAATTGACTTGATTCGGTGCAAAGTCAGTGGTCACTTTTGGCTCCACCAGCTCTCTACGGGTAATCTTATCACTCCCATTGCTTCCAAACCCATCTGTATATAGCAAACTTTCAGCTTCCACCTCTCTTCTGAGTTTCAAACCCATATTTCTAATTGCCCACTGGGTATCTCCATCTAAATACTATCAAAGCAAAATATAGACCTCAAAGTCCTTTCTTTACAGTTCGGTATTTCCTATATTCTTTTATTTTTGCCTTAGAGTTTTTTAGGCGCTATACCTTCTATTTCAATTCTAGCCAAAAGGAATTGTCACAATTAAGGGTGGGAAGAGTTAATAATGCAGGTGCAGAAGTCACTTAGAAGAGATTTTTCTTAAAGATAAAGTCAGAGGCTGAAAATATTTACAAGAATGAAATCCTACTGAAAGTGCCCTTGTAAGTGTGACTAAAAAGTCCTTCTTGGAGGTATCTGAACTTCATGAAGAGCTTCTATGGATGCAGGTTTTAACCTCTAAAAACCCTTCTATGCTGCTTGGTTGTCATGGGTGACAGTAATCAGCTCCTTGATCGCTGTAACCCTAAGAAGTATACAGAGTGCCATTTTTCTTCATTAAACAGAAGAAGTTTAAAACACCATATATGTCTCTTCTTTCTTTATGACTTAGGATAAAAAACACAATGTTGATCAATTTCTCATTTTAAATAATACACATGCGACAGTTTGTTCTGACAGTATCATGCAAGCAATTAAAGCCAGTGAAACTAAAACCACATAACACCTATATCTAGAAAAACCTGGAGGTATCGTGTATCAAATACAAATTATCAAATCATCCTTACCTCTCCTTCCTCCATCTTCCCCCATAAAATTTCTGTCCTTCCATCTCCACTTAGTTCCTGACTTTATCAACTCACCAGATTTACCGTAAAGTGCCCACAGTTTGCTAGATTACTTCTATATAAATCTGATCAAATTATTCTCTTGCTTAAAAAGTTGATGGCTCTTCCTTACACACAGAATAAAAAAAAATCACAATCTGGCCCACCCTATTATTCCAACTTTATCCCTTATCCAATCACCCTACAACCCAATCAAACTGAACTATTTGCAGTTCCCCGAGTTTGGGTATCTGCATAGGCTGTTCCTTTTATTTGCAATGCCTTGGTAAACCCCCACCATCCTTCACAATCTAACTCTAGTATTATTTCCTCTGTGAAACCATATCCTAGACACCATGGGGATGTTATTTCCGCCTGTGTTCATACACATAGCATTTTCACACTTGTTTATTTACACATTACTTACAGTAGAACTCGAAGTCCAAACATTAACCCATCCCTTACTATGTAGCTGTCTTGAGCTAGATAATGTGAGGAATGCAAGAAAGGGTATACAGGGTTTCAGCTCTCAAGAAATTTTCACAGTGAAAACAACTACAAATGGCACGTCATCGACTGAAAACCTCTTTCATATAACTAAGCAAAAATGATTCCTAAGGAATTCGTGGTCTGCTTATTTCTCCCACTAGTTCCCCTCCGCGTCATCAGTCTAGGCTCCTGGAGGGCTGAACCCACTCCTGGGCCCTGAACGTTACCCGCCGTCTTTTCCCGGTCCCCACTGCAGCCTCTTACTGAAAGCCGAAACATAAAGCGCAGCTCACCTCAACCTGTGCCGAGCCCAGGTCTGTTTGTTGAGCCGGAACGGAGGTCAACTCCAAGGAGCGCCTCCACCGACTCCGCCCCGGGACGTTGGGGTCGCGGGAACCGAGGCGGCAAACACTTCCTCGTGAAACCGAAGCCCGCGCCGCGCCTGCTGAGTGGTCAGAAATCCGACCCATCAGCGTGCAGGGTGGGTACTGGAGGCTTTAGCCTCGGTCTCTCGACAGGCTGGTACACCAGCCAATCAGCGCCCCGCACGGGGCCAGCTCTCGGCCAATCCCAAACCTCCTTGGAGAAATGAGGGCGACACTGGCGTTCCAAGATCAGGTTCCGGAGGATTTAAACAATTTTTCGTCAACGGTTAAGTTCCGGGGGGGCGGGCCTTGCATAAGCGCTAAGAAAAGGCCACCGAGGCTGAAGTGCGCAAGGCAGAGGAAGCAATTGCTCGTTTCTCTGATCGCCTCGATTGTCGCTCCGAAACTGGAAAGGAGTGAAATTCTTGGATGGGCAAAAGAGAGGGCAAGTTAGGCTTCTAGCAGTTTCTTTCCTAAGAAGCGTCCTGTCTTCTCAATAATAACGCTTTAAAAGCGTTTTAAAAAAACATGCCTTTGTATATAGCCCTGACCGGTGTGGCTGTTTGTTGGACATTCACCCGCAAAGCGAAAGGTCGCCAGGTTCTATTCCGGTCTGGGCACCTGCCTGGGTTACGGTGGGGGCACCCCCTCACCAAGTGCATGAGCGGCAACCGATGGATGTTTCTCTCCCTCTCTTTCTCCCTCCATTGCCCTCTCTCTAAAAATAAATATTTTTTAAAATTCTTCGTATATAAATGGCATATGGTATTAATATTGGTGTGGTAATTTGTAACCTCCACAACTATTGTTGGTAATTGGGCCTTCTCCGCTCTTATCCATTATTGTCCTGTCAAACTGGAGAGGTATAATCCCTGTTCAACAAGGGAGGAAACTTAAAATACCACACAGCTAGTGAGTGCAGAGTCAGGATTTGAAATTCCGCTTACTTTCCTCTAGATTCTACTTTTGTTAGTTACTGAGTTATAATATGGGAGTTCCTTAAGGACTGAACTTCATTTGTAGACTGTCTTGGTCTGAGTAAGTTTCCATTCTTTGGACACTGTAAATATATCAAACTAGCCATGAAATATATGCTCCATAGAGTTTCATTCTCAGCTTTCCTGGAAATAGTCCTGGGCACACATTTTAAGGGAAATGGTGGTCAGTTCCTCAGCTCTGGTGTGAGAGCAGAAAGCCTCAGATAGCAATGCATGTGTGACGAGGTGTTGGCCAACTCAGTGGAGTGCTCTGGACATTAGAGGAGTCCCACATTAGTTAGAAATGGCTAGAACTCTTGCTGTGCTCAGTAATAGTCTGAGGCTTCTGGAAAGAGCAAGCACCAAAACTAAGGCAGATCCTAAAGGCCAGACACTGTCAGGCAAGTGTACTCTGCTGCTGATGGGCAAGTTCTTCAGGAGAGAGGTACAAGTCTCACAGCTTGATGGATGCAAAGACCCTGGGGTTGGAGCTCCTTGGCATTTTTAAGAAAAATCATGAAGGCTAGTATGTGCTGGGCAGAGTGAGCAAGGAGAAGATTATCAAGAGTTGAAAGGCTCCTATTTGTTTTGTTTTGTTACAGGATAAATAGAATTAGCCACTGGGGAAAAAAAAGTTGAAGAGGGGAGGAAGTGTTGGTAGATCACATGGGTTCTTCTAGGACAAGATAAGGACTTTGCTGTGTTCTTGAGTTTGATAGGAAGACATTCAAAGATTTTAAATAGGGGACTGACAAGATCTGATTTTAGGTCTTAAAAAGACTATAGTAGTTGCTACACTGAGAATAAACTAGACAGGCAAGGGCAGAAGTAAGGAGACTAGTTAGAAGGCTGCTGCAAAAACCTAAGGTAGAGACTGATGGTGGCTTGAACAAGAATGGTAGCAATGAAGGTGGTGAGAGGTTGTTGGATTCTGGATGTATTTTGCAGGTAGAATCAACAAGAGTTGATTACAGATTAAATTTAGAATGTAAAAGAAAGGGATCTTGTGTGGGACTTCTCTGTTATTATCTTATTTGACTATCCTAACAGTCAAAGCAGAGAGGTATTGTATTATCCCTATGCAACAAGGGAGGAAATTTAAAAAATCATGCAGCTAATTAGTAAAGAGTCAGGATTTGAAATGTCACTTACTTTCCTCTAGTTTTAGTTAGAACTACTTTAAGATATCTGAGAGAGAAATGTAAGATGATATGAATTAGACAAAAAAAGAAGGGATGAGCACAATACATAATTCCCTATTCCTTGGGCATGGACTGGACATAGTGACATTCTTCCAAAGGATACAGTATGGAAGGGTTAGGGCAGAGAGAGTAACTTAACACTGGGGAAATTTGATCAACAGTACTTCATGTAATCAAGGCCAACATTGATAGCCATGAGTCATGTTGATAATGTGTATACTCATGCTGTGATGAAAATGGCACATTATCTCTATAGTCTTCTTTCCAATAACCTATAACCTCGGTCCTGAGAAAAACATCAGACCAATTCCAATAGTGGGGAATCCTATAAAATACCTGATCTATACTCAAAACTGTCAAGGTTATCAAAAGCAAGGAAAGTCTGAGAAACCAGCTAAGGCACCTAAAGTGACAGGGCAACTAAATGTAATGTGCTATCATGAATGGAATCATGGAACAGAAAAATTACAGTAGCTTAAAAACTAAGAAAATCTAAATAAACCAAGGACTTTAATTAATAATATTGTACCAATATATTGGTTCATTAATTGTAACAAATGTACCATACTCAATATGTTAATAATAGGGGAAGCTGTGTGT